TATAACCGATAGTCAGCTAAGATTAAAAGCTTCCCGATATATCGATAGCCTTTCAAATACGTTCGAACATCTCCATTTCTGGCCTCCGATTTGACTGGGTTGTCATACTCTGATTATAAAGGTGTTACGTGTAAACGTGTTGTCAAACCTCGAATACCAGTGGCATCTTTATATATATATACAAAAAGTGTTAAATTGTTATAAATTTAGCAATGCACAGGATTAAGCTACCGCAAGAATACAAATTACCACTAACAAACAGGTTTTGTCCTGGTCTTTAATTTTTTTGTTCAAGAGATGATCCGCAAACGGAGAAATGGGAGAAAAAGCCTATCACAAGTTTACTCTGTTTAATCCTCAAAACAAAGACTAGAATGCTAGTCTTTTACAAATACGTTGGACACTGTGTAACGCAAACGCGACCCTTTGTTACTAACTTCTAGTTCCGATTGTCAGTTTATCGTAATCTTATATTTGTGTTGATGATGTTAGCGATTATTTTTTATGTTAAATGTAAGTGCATTAGAAAAGGATAGCCATAAAACGGGTAGACAAACAAGGGCACGTAATGTAAACAAGAATAGGGATGTCGATAGGTCTACCATCGATGGAGCATGCATGCGCTCTAATGATAACATGTTGAGACTCATCACCATCACGACGTCGACGGTAATTGACTCCCTCACATACTTGGATCTCCCAGTTCAGGGTCCTTAAATGCAACAATGGTTCCTAAAAACTCTGCAGCTGATTGCGCCCACGTTAACAGAGCTAAATAAGGCTAGGCGTCACCGTCTGAGCTAAACATCCCAAGTGCTGTTCGGAAATCAACTGGTGATTTGATTGCTCAGTCTACCCCCAAAAATGTCCGCCCGGTTATTAAAAAGCCTACGATTTAAAAACCTGCTTCGACCTCCAAACAACAACATACTGAACCTGAATGCACTGGAAGAGCTGGGAAAACAACAACGGTCCGTGATGACTCTCTCACAATCATGAACCTCATAGACAATCCTGACCTTCCTCTCAGTTTGCAGGACAAAAATGACAGGATGCTCTGGGGTGAACTGAACAAAAAACTCGAACTTCCTAGAATAGAGCCTTTGACGGTCACACGGCTCACTCGGGGAAAGGAATCTAAACATCAAAATCACCCGAGACTACTTCGTGTAACACTCAAGAATGCTACCGAAGTAGAGGATGTCCTGCTAACTAGTCATTTACTGAAATCCGATGGGAACGTCAGAATACTGCCCGACGTACCGTATTCTTAGCGCAATCTCATCCGGAACATCCCTAAAGGATCTCGAGAGAAGTTTTTCAGCGGAAGAAATATCATTGTGCAATGTGTACCGGAAAACATGGACCCTGCTCAAGCAAACTCTGATATTCGGGAATGGAAATTCATCAAACAGTCCTTGAGGCTTAAAAACATACTGACTCAGCATGTGATGAGACTAGCCAAGAATGACGGTGATTCTAGACCCCGACTAATGAGGATAACTTTCCCATCCTCTCATATTGCGGCTGCAGCTCTGAAAGCATTTCGTGTCAACAGACGTCGGTTGCCAACTGGGATCCACATGCATCCGGACAGGCCATACAACGCCAGGATCAAGCACAAAAGCAAGCTGGAGCTGACCATTCCACTTGTGGACTGTCTTGAAGATAAAAAAACGTGTAAAGGACAGGGCCTACCAATTCGGCAAACCTTATATAGGTAGGCTACCTGTCCACTCACGTAAGGCTCATACAGACAAACAGGAAGAAGCTCACGTGTTTCAAATTAAAAGCATTAGCTGTTTATACATGAACGCCGCGAGTCTACCAAACAAAATGGATGAGCTACGTGAACTTAGCATTTCTAATAAGGTTCATCTGATAGGAATACCTGAAACTTGGATATCTTCTCAGTTTTCGGACCAGGAGCTAGCAATACCTGGAATGTCTCTGTTTCGCAACGACAAAAAAAATGAATTGGGGGTGGAGTAGCAGTATGCATACGATCTGGCTTGAAGGTACACCAAGTTCACAACCATGAGCTTAACAATCTTGAGGAATCCATATGGTGCTCTGTGAGATTGTCCACTATTTCGAGGTGCCTAGTCGGAGTCATATATAGGAAGCCCACTGCCGACATTGAGTATGACAGTCGTATTCTGGAAGGATATCCCGCCCTACGCGTCTCGGTTTCACTCACATCCCCATTCTAGGAGATTTCAATCTCCTTAGAGTCAACTTCGCGAAACATACGTATATTGGAGGTGAAAATTCAATTGGAGCTCGGTTCTTCAACCCCATTAAGGATCTGGGATTATATGAGAATGTGAAGTCGACAACTCGTTGGGGAAACAGTCAGATACCGTCGCGCTTAGACTGTGTTTTTACAAATGAAGAATTTCTAGTTAACAACCTCTCAATTCTGGCTCCCCTGGAGAAAAGCGATCACACCGTTATAGCCTTCAGTTTCGTCAGCGAAACTGAGCTAAGATATCCCAACAACGACAGGAGCTGGAATTTCAAACGGTTGAATGTGTCAGCTCTACAGGACCATCTACAACAGGTGAACTGGGATGTTCACCCTCAATTTGATGTGGATGCTCATTGGGACTTCTTACTGCACACGCTCATATGTGCTACAAAGCAGCCAGTCTCTCAAACCTCCCCCAAAAGCCACACGCAACCTACGATCATCAAAAACTGCACTCTTCGTTTGTTAAGCCGTAAAAGGCACTGTTGGGTAGAATACAAACGAACCAACAACAATCGCGAGTACAGGCAATACAAACATAAAAGGAACATATGCACGAAGACTATAAGAAAAGACAGGCTTCAGTACCAATTAAAGCTTATGGATAAATTTATTTCCATTCCGAAAAGCTTATTCCGTTACGCAGCCTCTCTTCGTCAAGCCAAAACTGGAGTTTCTCAACTGCTAGGTCCTAACGGCCCGACCGATAATGACGGTGACGCCGCTAACCTCCTGGCTGAGCATTACTCCCGGACATTTCAACCAACCCACATCAACTATACTGATGAAAGCTTCATCTGCAACTTCACAGGACTTTCGTAGTGAAACTGAGTGCTAACTTGGTGTTCCGAAAACTGCAGCATTTAAGAAAAGACACTTCTCCTGGCCCAGATATGGTCCATTCTGCTATACTGGGGGAACCAGCTTTAATCCTGGCAAAACCGCTTGGCGTGATGTTCTCGCACTCGCCAAGTCGAGGCAAACTACCGGAAAATTGGAAGCTGACTCACATCACACCAATCTTGAAAGGAGGTCGACGCAGCGAACCTCCAAGTTATCAACCGAAGGCTCTTCTCTCTATACCTTCAAAGATCATGGAGTCCCTGGTATACGATAGTATACACGACTATCTGCTGTCCTTAAATTTCTTCTCACCCCAACAGCATGGTTTCAGGAAGAGTTACTCCTGTATGACGAACCTGCTGACTGCGGTGGACAGATGGACAAGCATCGTTGATCGCAAGGGGAAGGTGGACATCATTTACCTTGATATCTCTAAAGCTTTCGATTCGGTTAACCATATATGTCTTATCAATAGGCTCAGGCAACTGGGTATCAAACCACCTTTAATTGACTGTCTCAGTTCATATCTGACAAACCGACATTTTAAGGTCAGGGTAAACTTGAGTTTATCACAGGCTATAGAATGTCCTGGTGGGGTCCCCCAGGGCTCAGTACTAGGACCTCTCCTCTTCCTGATTTATATAAACGGTCTTCCTCAACAGGTATCGTCAGACCTATTACTTTTTGCTGATTGCGTGAAACTTTGGTGAGAGATACGCAGCCAATAGGATATACAGGCACTTCAGGAGGATCTGACTCGACTTCAAAGTTAGGCAGACGACAACGGACTTACCGTTAACACTTCAAAGTGCAAAGTAGTCCATCTGCGACACGTCGCAGACTACAGTTACAACTTTGGAAACTCCTCTCTAGTAGTATTCCGAGTCGAAAAACTTTTAGGAGTTCTGGTGCCCTACGACTTAAAGTCTTAGGCCAACTGTGACAGAAATGCCTTTCGATCAAAAACCTTGCACTGATATCATTGAAGCGCATTTTTGGTCAGTTTGACGGGAGAACTTTCCACATAATCTTCAACAGTTTTATTCGTCCCCATTTAGAGCAGGGAAACATAGTATTCCCTCCTACACTCCAAAAGGATAAGGACACTCTGGAGGGTATCCAACGGCGAGCCACGAAATCAGTTCGGGGACTCAAATTTAAACCTTACGACGAGTTCCTCCAATCACTCGACCTTTACCCATTAGAGTATAGGCGTCTTAGGGATGACATTCTAGTGGCTTACAGTACCTTTATCACTTTTGGACATCCTCTTAAACACCTACTTAAGCTTAGTCCCAACACTAACCTAAGGGATAACACCCAGAAATTAGAGATACAACATAGTAGAACAAACTGCAGGCACAACTTTTACTCCTTAAGAGTTGTCAAATGCTGGAATTCTCAGCCAGCTGAGCTAGTCCAAGCAACTTCCCAGGAGTCTTTTAAGAGGCAACTTGATCTATTCTTAAGGACTAAGGATAGTATCTTACTATGATTTACCAATTTCTTTTTTCCCTTTTATCGTTAATATACCCAGGTTCTTGCCTGGAGGTATTGGTGATCCCCTGATACTAGACACGGAAGCCTGTTAAGCAGAAGCTTCTTCTATTCCGTCCACAACCATTTGAACCATTTGAACCATTCTGTGGGCTTATTGAGTCATCAGTCCAAATTCCTTCTTGCTTTTCCATCCTCAGATTCTCTTTAGAACATTGTTGATCACACATCTACAGTACATAAGAGCTTTCAATCCGCATACACCTACCAAAGGTTGAACGTCACAACTGTTCAACAAGGACTCCCACTTATATAAAAGGTGCGCTACAGCGTTGTTTCATCGTAGTTGGAGGGTTTTATTTCCAGATTTAGATTCATCGCTTTAGTCATATTTACAAAACTACTGATTATGAGCCAACTCTTAAAACAGGCCAGAGAGTTATATAAGGCTGAAAAGTTTGAGGAGTGTTATAAACTTACTGGGGTAACCGAAAGTTAACCAAAATTATACCTATATTTCAGGATCTCCTAGTTAATTCAAAAGATTATGGGACACTAGTTATGCATGGAGCCTGTTGCTCTCAAATCGGAAACGAGAAGGAAGCTATTGAATCATATTTCTCGGCTCTTTCGATTGATTCTACAAACAACATGGCTTGGATTGTAAGTTTGTTCAAGAGTCGTGACTTTTTGGTATTTGTTCGGATGTAAGTCATAGTCAGTGTCACAAAGCTAGGGTAGGAGTAAAAGCGACATGTTGGGCGTACGTTATAAAGACTACTGGAGAATATGTAAAGCGCCTTTAGTTTTTATTTGTACTTCATCCCGATCCCAGTTTCAACATCATTCTGCGGTCTGAGGAATTAAACCTAACATTTCTTCACACCTTAGCTAATATGATCTTTTATGAAGGGTTAGTATTTGTTGCGTTACTCAAGTTATGCAGTACGTAGTTCTAAATAATGAGTATGAATTCTATCTAATGCAAAATGCTGTTTTTTTACTACATATCTTATCCCTTATTAAATAACTCGGAGATTTTTTCGCGTTTACTCCACCATCAGGGTCTTTACAATGAAACTAAGAAAAGCCCAGACAGAAATCAAAGAGTTCTTTTAAAAGTATGCACAGTACTCGTCGGAAAATGCTCAAAGTACGTTTCTGTTTTATGGCATCCATTAATTAACGCATATGTAATTTGAAAATTTCCAAATGCTTTGTGATCCTTTGAAACAAGCTCGCGATCACTCATTTATTATCTTTTCGACTGATTTTTCAGGTCAGACCCTATTGGAAAATATTTAGAATACGCAAAAACGCTTGTTCAAATCGTGGTTCAGTTTCGACTACCAGTAAGTTTACCGGTTTACTTTTAAAACTCAATATATTTTTTTTTCTATCAGTCACACTTTTCTGTTTGTAGTGTAACCCTGATTAAGTGCAAAATAGTATCATTCCACTTGGAAATGATTGAAATATTTCTGTTGTATGCTATACATATCTTAATCCCTAGTTATTATGTTTAGGATGCTAATTGAACCTTGACATTGATGATCATAATGTTCCACAAATTGATTGAATTTGGAAATATGGATGATATGTGGTGCTATAGTTAGACCTGATGGTCAGGTTTTATCATCACTAGCACATAATTGATCTACTTAGTCGGTATCTTGTTTATATTTCAATTAACTGATCTGTTTATTTATCAGTGGTATAAAAGTCCCATGGTCTCTGCAAAATATTATTTGAGACCGCTGATATCTACGACTGTGTAGTTCTAAACCTGCACAAAATAACTATCTAAGAAGTAGGATAACCAGATTTCTAGGTCTTTAAACAAGCTTGTGAGACTAGGACAAATATCAAAAAAGGTTCGTAACGAATGTAATCCAGTGGACCAGTGCTTCCTCGACTATACTGTGAGTCGAAACGACACAAACTAAGCATCTCACTATGTCCAATTTTACCACTCTTTAAAACCTTAAAGTATAATTTATCGAGAAGAACTCCAAGCATATTGGACGAGTCAATGCACTTATCCGACAACTTCATTAAATCTTCTATACAATTCTTGGATAAGATTAGGGAGGTTCAATTTAGCGACGACGAACTGGTGATATCCTTTTACGTAAAACAGTCTTATTCACTTCAATCGAACCAAGCTCAGTAATAGAAACCCTACCCCTACTACTTACTAGGAACACAAATGTCCAAAAGTACACGAAGCTTAACATATTTTAAATTCAACATTGAAATCTACAAACAAACAAATGGGATCACCAATATCAAGACTCATTGCAGAAGCAGTGATGCAGATACTAGAAGCCTCGATTTCATCAAATGCCCTGGTACGGCCGAGAGTGGGGAGAGTCCGCTCTCCCTCTCGAAATGCTCTCACATGGCCACGCGTATATAGCCCCTGCCAGGGAAGTCCTACTCACTGCCTTCACGTGGCGGGGGTGTTGTTTACGAAAATGAGAGGACGAAAAGCGAATGTCCGGCGCTTTAACCGGATCACAAACCAATGGTGCACATGGGCTCCAGTATCCTGAAGGAACAAATGGCGTATGAACCAATCGTTGGTCACCGGCTACCATGGGACTGCATTTCCTTACGATGCTCCACTGCCTTGTGGGTCAGACGTTCAGGTCAAAGGCTCGGGGTGTGGCCCCCTAAGAAAACCACCTGCTTCGGTTTGGGCACCCGGGCAGTATCACAGCCCTCACACATATCAAATGAGATATGTGTGGCGCATATGTATTTGGTGCCTCCTTGTACCAATATCTATGTGTTAAAATAAATAAATAAATAACCAGTGATCAATGTAAAAATGTGGATTCGTTATATGGATGACATCAATCATCATCAGAAAGGTTGAACTGAGAAACGCCTACAATTTGATCAGTAACGTCTTTGATGATATAAAATTCACAATGCAAGAGGATTCAAAAAACAAACTATCGTTATTGGATGTATCGATCATGAAAACTGACTCAGGAAAACTGTAGACCTAATTATATCGGGAGCCAATCTACACAGATCGAATCCTCAACCACAATAGCAACAGCCCAATAACTCAAAACACAGATTACATGCAAGCTTTACTCAAGAGGACGAGAACCTACTGCAGCACACTTGCAGCGTGCGAAATCATGTGGAACATCTGATGACTATCCTTCAGAAGAACGACTACCCTCTCAACTTCGCCAAGAAATATCAACCCAGCTCATCAGCAGAAATGAAATCAAGTATAGAAACCAGTAAGCGGATCATCCTTCCATATGTAAAAAAGACATCAGAAATTACGAGGTTATTGAAGCCGTTCGAAATAGGTGTAGCACACAAACCTGCAAAATCGCTCCAATCAACCCTATGCAAACCAAAGGATGGAATGATAAAGGGAGAAAAGCCAAAAGTCATCTACAAAACAAATTGTTCCAATAGGACAAAACGCTATACCAGACAAAGTGGACGCCACCTTCATCTTCATCTGTATGAGCATAAATTACCTGTCGAACTCAGTGACATGTCTTCGCTTATATCAATGCGTGTGGGCAAATTTGGACACAAATTCGACGGGAAAAGTATAGGAATTCTGGATATAGGGAATACTAAGAACAAAGAATTTCTGGAAGCTCGACACTTAAGCCAATCAGGATTGATCGTGGATACATGTCGGATCAAGAATTAGGTCAAAGTTGGAGACAATCAGAATAAATACTCAGCAATAATCGATCAATATTAAGGTCGACAGGACAAGCTAAGAGTCATATGTAGAGAAACTCGAGCACCCCCTTTTTACCTGAAGTTTATACCGATAATGTTGTTCAGGGAGACAATGAAAACCTCACAATTAAACCATGCAACCCAGAGAAGGAATCCGCATCAGTGGCTATCTAGTTCTCTCAGGTTTTCGATAGTCTATCGTTTAATCTCCGTTTTCTAACGAAAATTATCTTAAAACATTTTTCAAACCCCGTTTGTGTACAGTTCTCAACTTAAACCTATCCTGGTAATATTAGTGTGATAATTGAGAGTATTTGAATTATTGTATGAACTAGGAGTCCCAGAAATAACGCACTTTAACCAAGACGTTTTAGATGGGCACGAAAGAACATATCGTATTTGGAATTCGAAATCAGGCAGTCACCAAGTACAAAATTACGAATTACGAAATACACATGAATTACATGGCTGAAACTTGCCATAGAACAAGCATTTACCAAACGTGTGCTCATCTTCGTGACCTGCTCCGTAACTTCTGAATGAATTGTTATCTGAATAATCATGACCACTCATCAGACTGGGACGACGTAGTAAAGTAGTAGAATTCCTGATGTCCTGACAAATAATTTTATGAAATTTTTCTTTACCGCATTCAAATTTCGTACACTTTACAAGGTCTAGTAGTAGTTTATTGAGAGTTGCATAAGGGAGTGAAATCGGTTTGTCTGGAAATGCCTTTATTAAGCTGTATGCTTCTATTCCAATGAATGTAAGGAAATGAGCTATAATATTAACATCATCAATATCTTCCTTGGCCATAGTCTAGATTTCGAACCTTTCCACATAACCATCAAAAGTATCAAAATCTGAGTTTATGTCCAACCGTTCTATCACAGGCTCCATCGCGACGCCAATGTGATGATTTGAAGTATTTGAATCATAGTACAAAGTAAGAATCCCAGAAATAATGCAATTTAAACCAAAGACAACTAGATGAGCACAAACGAACGTATTGTATTTGAAATTCGAAACCAGGCAGTCATGAAGTACAAAGGAATCATCAATTCATACAAACACCACATTATCTTATTATCCAAAGTGATGAGGTTTCAGATAGTTTTCACATTTTCTTTATTATCTTTGTCTTCTCTTACCCTCCATTTTTTATGGCTGACCTAGTTTTTTTATAAATAAATGTTCTCAACAAGTATATATGTGATCAGATTATTCGAAATGTATTGCGCCAATATATCACATAGTTCTGATAATCATGTTGTTATTATACTATCAAAATTTATCAAAGGGACTAATTACTGTAAAGCATTTTACCTGAGTTTCGATCGTTTCTAACTTTTCTAATTTTTTTAAAAATCACTTGCATAGTTAGTTTTATAGGGTCAGTCTGAAATTGTTACCCAAAACACTATGTTAGAAAAATATTTACATTATTATACAATACCGATTTACTGTAGTTCATCATATACACATTTATTTCGCTGTGAGCTGCATTCTCGGAATATCACCTGATTGTGAGGTTTAAACTTGAGACTTAGTGACTGAAAGTCTGGGACCCTGACCATTGAGCCGACGTTCCACGTATTGCTGAGACCCCATGAGCATGGAAATGATATTGATTCTGAATTTAATCCATGTCATCTTGTTGTCAAGGTTAATGTAAACATAACTTTTTGATCTTTCATCATCAGCATTTCCCATCTACTGATCATGTTCAATCTTTTTCATATCTGTATAAACTGTTAATAAGTTGAAAATCCAGTTTACATTACAGCACCACTGGAAATTAAATCGTTTCCGTGGCATTCTTTCAGTTCTCCGTCGGTTTACATAGCTCTGTTTCGTTAGATGCTTCTTCACAGCAATCATAAATAACTGCCCGAGTTTACATTAATAGTGCATGAAATCAGGGTTCGAATCTCCCAAAGAGAGAAAGACAAATTATTTTAATCTGAAGTTACTGACAGATCTTTCTCGCGAGAGGCAGAAAACAAAATTTATGTTCAAATGTACAATCATTTATCGTCAAATGTGATTCAAAGTATCATTTTATTGCCATAGTCCTTAATTCACTGACACCAGAATTGTAGTATGGTTCTGTCTTTTGTTCCGCAAATAAGTAAACTAAAACATGATGAACTATTTACTTAAACTGATTACATTAAAATATGTTTATTTTATCCTTCGAATTATGGCTTGTAGAGATATCTGGTTAGCTTATGCACTTGATTTTTTACTAGTGGGTTGGTCACGCAGTCAACATCCTCATCTATCAACAATTTACTAATCAATATACACAATGGATATGACTCATGGTTTAGTACATAAATTTATATACATTTATTAGACTTGATCAATCTACCATAATTTACGCACCATAACAAGACAATATTTCGATCCATCCTCGGTGTTCTATGTTTCTTCAGTTTTAATAACTTAAACACAACTATTTAGATATTAAAAATACGCCTCAAGCTAAGAAATATTTCTTTCAAATTCGCTTTCTATCATGACTTGAAGCTAATGCATAGTTTTACACCTAAACATACAATAACCATCAATGCAATGATAGCAAGTTAATCTAACAATAGTGATGATAATAATAGTAATAAAAAGGAATTCAAGTCGATCGATTGTTGGAATGAATTACATACTTTTAGTTTCTTAATTTCCAGCTATATTATCACTAGATTTGAAAAACAGTTGATATTCTTTGTTTGTTTTCTGCTTTTATAGTTACCCTTTGATTTTAATGAATTTGATGATATATGCGAATTTGTTCTTGAACACGATCCAGACAATGTATATGCTCTTGAAGCTACGTTTCGTTTACAAATCGAATATTTCTTATGTGAGTTTAGTTAAGAGTATGTAAACTTGTATTTTGTTTGTTTTCAGATTTGGCATACATAGTAATCAGATGTATTATCTTCCTAAGTTAGTACTGTCACACGTTGTCACCAACCACTTTCGTTGACTATGTATTGTTTGAGAAGACAACTATATAAGTTACAGGAGTTCTTTGAACAAATGCGTTTTATTACAATGTATTTCATATCTTATTTTGATAAATATTTATTAGATGTGTACTTCTTTTAAAAATGACTTTTCTCATCATCTACCATTGGTTTTTCATTTAATTATGCAAAACATTTAAGGGTTTTAAATTTGTAGAATAATATTTTGTCCAATTTCCCCGGTTTTACATTATTTTAGTGTTAAAAACTTAATATCAACGGAACTGTATTCTGAAAAAAATAAAAACGAAAATACTATAATTCAATGGTCATTAAGCAGGTTGGTTGCAGATAACACCTTTGTTGCTAGGCATGGTACCACTTTTTCTGATTAAATTATGGTTTAGTGAAGTCGCGCTCGAACTACTGAACTGAATCAACGTTTTGTGTTAGTGGTAACATGTCCGCCTGCTTATTGTAATAAATGATAAGAAAAGAATCGTCACTGGCATAAAACGGGAGTTTAATGTCGTCCGTTTAAGTATGAGGATTTCCATTTAATTATGTATATATAATTTTGATTAGCCTTGGTTAGGATATATGCATTCTGTTCAGATTACCTCGATATAGTCAACTATAAAACAAGTTAATGTATAATATATGACATGTATCTAGTAATAAAATTCAGAACTTACGTTTCGTCCTATTTGAGATTTATCAGTTTGATGTATCTGCATCACAGAGTTCCAAATGGGGCGAAATGCGTATCCTAGCCATATTCCATCTGTTCTATACATATATGAATATTGTCATGACTCTCATAAAAGCGTTTCGCGATAAATTATAACGAAAAAGTTATGTAGGGGAGCTAAAACAGCTTATTTACCAGATAATAAGTATTGAAAAGTGCAAGTAAAGAAAGACTATATGATCAATGGTATTGGATTCTTAACTGTCTTGTCACTTCTCCCTCATAAATCAATGTATGAGCACATTGAGTCATAAAAAATAGCCAGTTTCTTGTGAATGAAACTTAAAGTCCTATTAGTTTAACACAATTTACTTCAATAAGTGGATAAGGTGGGGTACCAACAAACATTGGACTTTTTCCCTTAGTTTTTGATTATTTTTCCGTTGTTTTGTAAAGGGTTATTCAATTTAAAGTTTAATTCTTGTCATCAACGAATATATGTGATGTGAACCGGGAAACAAGAAGCCCTGACAAACTACGAAGGCTATTTTTCGGAACGTTATTTCATTTTATTCAAAGCTTGTAAAACACTGACATTTATTTTTGTCCCTAATCTATTCTACAGAACATAAACTTTCGTTCGATGTATCATTCACTGCCATACCTTTTTCTGTTCCGAAGCTATTGTAATTTAAACATATTATTTTGCACCATATTTTCTACTCTAATCCCCAGCTTTGGACACGATTGTATTTTTCCTAATTATTGTACGTTGCGGTCGGGTTATTCACTTATTTATTCATGTACCTTTTTACACTAATCTGAATTCAGTAAATCCAGTGAGTTCAGTGGTCAGGGAAATAGATCGAGTAGTGTTCCAGTTGTCTTGTCTTCTCTCATTCGTGTGCTTGCCCACCAATCAGGTGACAGAATAGTTTTCTTCTCTCTACCCCATCTCGAACTCACGCGTACTAGTCTCAAGGTTAAGCTGATCAGCCTATCGTATCAAGGTCGAAATCTAGATTAGACAAGTAGCCTCGGCACCAAAAAGTGGGTAGACAAATCAAGGTCATAACAATATGTCAGATGGGAAAGGAATAATTGGCTATCAGAGGATATTGAATTGCTGCTTCTCATCTCAGTTTGAAGCTTCTCAATGGCAGTGTTTACGATCCCTCTACAAAGGTCGAATTAATGACCGTCATGCTTCTCAATATGCACACTATCCCTTAAGACCATTAGGTTTTAACTTTCTACAGTTTATATTTTGAACTTTAAACGAAAACTATCTCCAGATTGAATTACTTTCTACAAACCAACCGATTGTTGAATAGTCAAAGGATTATTAGTGACTAACTTTGAAATAAATGTCATAAGTTCTGGTGATAAAATGAGACAGTTATTAGTTAATGTTTAAACATCATCATCATCTCAATGCGCTTGAATAACAACACACCGTTTGATCAAACCTATAACATTAAAATTCTTTTGACAATTCCCGTCTGTTGCACCTTATAGGCAAAGCATTTTTTAAACCATAACTTATTGTATGTAGTTTGAGTGACCTTTTCATTACTTATAGTTGTGAGTAAAACGTGTTTAGTAATTTACTTATTGTTTAAACACATAAGCATTGGTACAAGGAGTCAAGGAGGGCTGGAACAGTGCCCGGGTGCTCAAACCGAAGTGGGTGGTTTTCTTAGGGGGCCACTTCCCGAACCGTTTGACCTAGAGGTCCAATTCACAAGGCAGTAGGGCAACTTTCGGAGATGCAGTCCCATGGTAGCCGGTGACCAACAATAGATTAATACACCATTTGTTCCCTCAGGATCCTGGTGCCCATATTCACTATTGGCTTGAAATGAAGGTTTTCCCATTCCTCTAAATGGATCCTCCATACCCACCAACCCGGTTAAAGCGTCGGATATTCATTCTTCGTCCTCTGAATTTCGTTAACAACGATGAGAAGGCAGTGAGTAGGACTTTCGTGGGAGTGTCTGTATACGCGTGGCGATGTGAGAGCATTTGAAAGCTACCTCGCTCCACGGTCGACCATACCATGTCATTTCTAGGCTTTCATGTTTAATAATCATTAATTACATAGAACAATGGGATATTTTTAATACTATAAAAATGATTGTAAAATATCACATGGTTACTTGCAAACTTTTCTCTTTCTGATTTTTTCTTCCTTTAAATAAAAATAATCAGTCCATGGATTTCCTGAATTTATTGACCCGAGTTTATGCAGTCAATTAAAATTCAAGAATATAACGCAACAGTCAAGAGTACCCCATATCACTTCATCAGCTGTCTACCTCAAACGATTAAAACAATTTGAACAAATGCTAGAAACAATACAACAATCAACCGATGTAACTAAAACAGCTCATATAACACTATGTTTGAGTCGGCTGTTATATCGTTTATATACATATTTCATTCCCAATTATTCATCAACCAATAATGTTGATGATGATGTTACTACAAATTCTAGCAATCAAAATAATGAAAAATGTTCAGATTTATGGAATCTTATTCAAAGCGATATTGATAAACTTGATTTCAATGGAGTTGTTGGATTTGTAAACTGTTCAAAGAATCAAATAATTGATCTTCATGGTAGGTAACCCATGTTTGTGTTATTGTACTTGTTGTGATGGAAAAATTAAAAATTCTATGATTCTGCTCTGGACACTAGAATTAAATATCACCAAACTGGGGAAAAGATCATGTGACACACGAATCATTTACCAAGTTAGATCACAATCAGAAGTATATGTGATCAAAGTAGAAAATTATTGGAATGGATCATAAACAGTATGAAATAATCTCTTAAATTTAGTATTGTCGAATATGTCTGTTTTTGTTCAATGATCAATCATGTTTGACTTTTATCAGGCACGTCATCCCTATTATCCTTGTTAAATTCAATGTTTCGGATTTTGGAGTGAAGTTCATCCATCCATATAGCTAAACAGAATTTTGGCATTATGGTAGATCCGTTTGTAATGAAAATCCTAGTTTCTGATTATCAATCTTAATCCTAATTCCTCTCACTAATCTATAACCTTCTTTTGACCCCAGTAATTAGGTGAATTTTCTCAAAGGTCGTTCATAAATTATAGTCTCACCACTACTTCTACTACTTCGGTACTTGTGGAAATTGTAGTATTTTAACACTTGAATTCACGAGTCAATCTAAGCTAGATCACCACTGGAAACCGGCTTAGTGGTCTAGAGGTTATGCGTTCATGTGCGAGACCGAAGGTTCAAGTCTTGCGTGTGAGGTCGTGGACGCGCACTGATGAAGAGTCCCATACAAAGACGAAACAGCTTTCCAGTGCTTCTGGGTTTTCACTGGTAGTCTAGGTTAAATCAATTCGTTAATTCAACTGTTAAAAAACGTTCTAATCCACTATATTAAGTTATTTATGATTTTTATGGGATGTAAGATAAAATTCATTCATTTTTAAATCCCACTCAAAAGCTTAAATTTAGTTCTCTCGATTGTGATTGAATAATGTATTATATTGTAATATACTGTAATTATAATTTGCTCAGGGGGTTCTCTTTTAAAAAAAAAGAGTTTACCACAACTAGTTTTTTTAAGGAATTTAGTTGTTATAATGAAAATGACGAATCTTTATCCGAATTATGTGATTGACATGAATAAAACAATTGTGATTTTTTTTTTCGTTAACATAAACCATAAATCTCAAAGAAAACAGTAGTAATTGGTTTAAGTGTAATCGAAATATGTGCCCAATACATCCAAGAGGACGCTTTTTTTTCAGAAGTTGCTATGTTTGAAAAGATTACGAGTTTGCCTAATCTGTGAATGGAACGAACACTTTGTGACACAATGACAGATAAGCTAGCTGTTCTGATACGTCCCAACCCAGCTAACTAGAGAGAGAAGTCCATGCTCAGAAGAGGGAAATATATTCCATAAGCAGTCAGAAGCACAAACAACCACGACGACCCTAGTCGAAAATGCACTCATTTATATATTGATTGATGCACCCATTTTCGATTAATAATTAGGATGAAATCACATATGAAAAATACTTACAGTTATAACAAATCATATGCTGAGCAGAGCACATGCCAATTAAATACAAGAATATCGTATATTATACAGTATAAAATATCATACGGGAAAACAAAACCGAATACTATACTGAATAATCATCACATTGAATCAAAACGGAACTAATGTTGAACCAAAAATCATGAGTAAATCAATCGAATTTTGACTTTTCATCCTATCATATCCGAAATGCATAAAAATTAAAACATGCTGAGAAGAAACGAATTGTTTCCGACTGTAACCACATTCAAAATTGAATCTGAACTAGTAATAACATGATTACTGGAACTGATCGTTATTAAAAAGGTGATCACTACACAAATTATTGATTTTTGTATCATTCTTGAATCAATAATAACCGATTATATCATTTTTAAAATTATTAATATAGCCAAGTGATAGGTTGGAAGTGTGTAAAATTGTTGGAATATTATGAATAATAAATGTAGACCACAATTAATGATAAATGATTTTTTGTTATATCCCAGCTAGTAAGAAAATTGTATTTCTGACATCTCGTGACTTAATGTAAGCCACTTCTTTAAAGTTAATAAATAAGTAAATTAAACCAACACTTGTATATTTTGAACATGTCAGAAATACAATTTATCTACTCATTGGGATATAACAAAAAATATCTTCATTTATTATTAACTTTCTACCCAATGCTCAATTTATTTGAAACTATCATGTTCAACCTTGGTATTTAGACCACAGTTATTTTAATGTTGTTATCCGTACTATAAAACAATATTACCATGATGGGTTGTAGTGTCTGTTATTTTGTTAAGCCCAAATAACTTATTTTAACTTTCGGACAGCTCAGTCTATTCATTCTACTTGAGTCACATTCTAACCTTGTTAATTATTCGCTTATCAATCTTGACTGTTTTTATATGAGCGCGTAGGCGTGTATACACTTCTTATCCCATTACTCATCACATGTCTGTAACTTATTTTTGTGTGCCTATAAATATTGATTGGTGCTTGACTAAGAGGAGCTGGATTATCAGCCATCTCCACCGCGCATCATTTTTGCTTCGCTTTCTTCTCTTCGCATCGTTTCCCCGTTCGTTTGTCTGGATCAACGATTATGCAAAATATATGTATTCAAAAGTCCATTCTCGTTATTTGACTTATTTAATTCCGTTATTAACTAACGCGATTTAGGTCGATGATTATATGCGAGGATAGGCAACATATATATTTCGATAACGATCATTCATGTGGTCTACTTAGAGTCAGATCTTGGGCCCCTAAAGTGGAGAGCCCTTCGACGAACATCGTCCGATCTAAATGACGACAAAACAAAAGGCCTCCACAGGGTCTAGAGTAGGAATAAACTATTTTTGGATACATATCAAAGCGGTTTGAATTTTCTTATGTTCAAGACTTCAATAAACCTTAGTATTATACACCCTTGAATCATTTTTGTACAAAATTACAAAAGCTTGGTTAAGATCAATCTTATAATCCTTTTTCAACTATAATGTTGTTCAATAATGAAAGAGAATGGATGTTTATCTACTACTCATATTGAATTATTTGATTTTATTTTGGCAATTTTTTTGGATTATTTTAGTACACATATTCAACCATTAATATATCACATTGTTATGACAAGCTTCATCTTCTAAAATTAATCAATTATGTTCAAATGTGATTATGTAATATTGTTTCCTTTTGTCTTTTATACTATGTAGTATGTAATAAGTTTTTGTCATTATTATTATTATTATTATTGTTATTATTATTATTATTATTATTATTATTATTATTGTTTTTAATTCACTGAACAAAAATTCAGCTGGACTTTTGTATGCATTGGCTGCGTTTAAGTTGTATCAATTCAATAGTTGTAATACAATCATTACTACATGTAAGTGGATTAGTTCATTATTATTATTATTATTATTATTATTATTATTATTATTATTATTATTATTATTGTTATTATTATTATCATTACACTATTTTTAGTGATTTTTTACTTCCTGTAAAATTAATGAATTTCTACTGCTGTTATTCTAAGGTCGAATAATGACCGATGATTTGCAAATAATGTGCTCAGTAAAATTTATTGTTCTAGTCTTTTAATAATGCTGATCGAACTCTAACGATTAAGTTGTTATGTGACCACTAGTCTAAATTACTCGGCATCACGCTTTTGAAAGTAGTTGACAGGGTGAAACTCTAGACCTAGGTTTTATATTGGTTGATACTCATTAATAAGGCGTACCTGTAGTTTTGAGGGAACTGATGCTATTTGTACGGCTGCATTTGGTCTTGTGTGTCCGGGTCGTAATCGCAGGAAAGCAGTTGTGTGGTCTGTCTTTCTTTAGTCCGATTATTGATTAGTTCACCTATATTGCCAGTATGACCGGTGACCATTTGTGTGCCGATTGACACGAAGATTAGTGAACACTGACCAAGACCTTAACACCTAGTAGTCCTGGAGCCCTTTCTAACCTAGTGACCAATTAGAAGGCGGATACAAAAAGCGTACCAGTCCTTTAGTGTATTCGATTCAATCATAACTCAAAATTTGTACGGTAATATACCTGAAATATTTGATTACACAACACAAAAACCTATAATATGTACATAACTTGGACATCTGTGATACAAGATCACGATAATATATGAATGACTAATTAATGATGGATCCAGAACAATAAGAAATATGACAACAATTTATAGGTCAAACGAAAGCTTTAAAATAAGAGTTATACTTTTTCACTAATCGTCTCGTTATATCATTTAAATAATCTGTACTTTTCTTTATATTTCAGTAATATCTTTTATTGATAGAAATTGTACACAATTTGATTCAGAATCTGAAAGTTTATCCGAACCTATAACGAAATTTATCATTTATACATCAAATCTAAATTTTCCTCAACTTACATTATGTACACCATTTCGTTTCAATTTAAATGAACTTGAAGATAATGATTTGCTAACAGGATATAATATTTATGCAATAATTAATTCTTGGTTACGGATACTATACATGGCGAATATTTGTAATTCAGAAATTTCTACAAAAAATATTGATGCAAATATTGAAATGATTTCTTGTCGATTGGCAAATACAAAATATGTAAGTATGAAAATTATATAGGTACCAGTAAATATCGTCATTTTCATTTTATTTGTGTGTGGGCTGTGATAATGCCCGGATGCCCAGACCTAAGCAGGTGGTTTTCTCAGGGGGCCATACCCAGAAACTTTGACCTAAAGGTCTAACCCATTGGGCAGTGGAGCATCGTGAGGAGATGCAGTTTCATGGTAGCCGGTGACCAGCGATTGGTCCATTCGCTATTTGTTCCCTCAGGATACTGGAGCTCATGTGCACCATTGGTTTGGGATCCGGTTAAAGCGCCGAACATTCGTTTTTCGTCCTCTCATTTTCGTAGACAACACCGCCATAAGAAGGCAGTGAGTAGGACTTCCCTGACAGAAGTTGTATACACGTGGCCGTGTGAGAGCATTTTGAGAAGAAGGGCGGGCTCACCCCACTCTCGGCCATACCAGGGCATTTGGGAGCTACAGGTAACATTATTTTAAATATTGTTGTTGTTGTTTTTACTTGAAACTAACAGTTAGTTACAAATCAAGTTTAATTTGGAGATCCATTTTCTCAAGTTATCAATTGTTTTAAATTCATTTAATAGTATTTTACATTCTAAAGATATTTAGTTTAGGTATGCAGTAAAATACAAAATGATTTCTGGCTCACGTATTAAATTTATTATTGTAATTGATACATTGTGTTAATTAAAAAAATCGTCAAATGACAAGTTTATGCTGTTAGCTAAGGGATAGATATAGATCACTGAAAGGCTTAGTTACCTAATGGATGTATATCTTTTAATTTGAGTAGCAGATTAGGTTCGGGTGTAGGAATATCAACTTTTGGACACCAAGTCTCTCAACAGTAATTCCATTCCATTAAGTGTTGTTGTATTCCCATTAGCCTTAAACCTTGATTTCAAGATTCTGAACTAACTGATAATGATAGGTTTTATTGTTGTTCAACGAGTTGGCATTAGAACATATTATTTCTCCGTTGTTAACCTCTGAATGGTAACTTGACAAACAATCTACTGGGATCTGAGACCATTCGATATATGTATCATTATTTTCTACTCAGTTTTTTATCATTCTAAGAATAATACGCTCATTCTGAGGTGTGTAGGTATAAAATTTGATCCTTGGTAAGTTTCATTAGTATTCACTTCTGAAGGGGCTTATATTAAAGTGAAGCAGCTGTCTAATATTTAATGGTTCCAGTCAACTAGAGTTCTTTGTCCCTAACAAAGGGAGGTCGCACCCTAGAATGATGCTATACTACTCAGGTTTCAAAGAGTTTGAATGCTGTCTTGTTCTACTGGAAAAGCTCTATGATGATAAACTGTCATTTTGTATTGTCTATATGCATAAATATCCTTGGAGAAGTGTCTACTGTTAAATCGCTATGCTTTCAGGCCTGTAGGTCACAGGTTCAAATCCCGCATAATCTGCTTTGTTTTGAAGAGCCAAGAAGTATTAATACCTCTCCCATAAACTGTGCGATCCGAATTTGAGTACATAAATTTATACTTGGTATATGAGTTCCATTAATCTTACATAGTGAGTTGGACCAATGCAAGTTCGTATTGCATCGTATCTTGATTACGAATGATTAACCGACTAATAAATCACGAACTACCCATTATTTCGACAGAAAGTCGTTTATTTTATCTTTGTTATCTATATTGGTTGTGAATACGAAGAATCTAGTTGTAACTGTAGTAGTCATCATTAAGCCAATAATATTTTTCTCCTAATACGGAGTGAAGAAAGAAGTTTATTTGGATATATATATATATAGTCTCTGGGAAATCAAGCCTATCAGTGGTTTATGCCTTATCTCTTGGAAAAGGAAGCCATTCGGTGATTTTCGACCCACTGTAATAATACAATACCTATGTATTGTTTAATTATGATGCATTTGGATTTTAACAGTCAACTGTGATCTATATTTTATAAGAAAACATTTATCTTATTAAATTAAACCATACATACAGATTTACTGATTGGAATAGTTCGAATCCAATTCAGGTCAAACTAAATATTTGTTTTAAAAGACTTGAAGATTATAAACCTAACACTTTTGTATCAAATTAATAATACAATGAGCATAAACTAAGATTATGAATAGGTAAAGATAGGTAGTGGTTGGCAGTAAAATCCAGGGTTCACGTTTCGTCCTATTTGGGACTCGTCAACCGGGTGCACCTGCATCCCAGAGTTGATGTTCACTCCAGGACTCGAACGCAGTATCGTTCGCTTCAAACATCATCGCGTTAACCACTTATCTACTGCATCCAGATAGCTGTTCACTTGAAGAGAACGATATTGGGTATCGCAGTGAACATTGACTCCGGGATGCGGGTGCATCCAGCTGGCATGTCTCAAATAGGACGAAGTGACGCACATCCTAGATTCCACTCCTAGCCACCATCCATCTTTGCTTAAAATGTTTGTGACTTAAGGTAATATCGAGGCACTCCGTACAGGATGCACATATGCCAACAATATGAAAATGAATTAAATTATGAATATTTTTCATATAAGTTCTCAACATATTAATAATGAGTAACAAGTTGATTGAAAATGTATAATGCATTTCCCAAAACCTCAACAATTAATTGTTATTTTTCTCCTAGTTACTATTCAACCATTTTAACTTCAATTAACTGTCTAAACAGTAATAATAATACTAACATAATATTTCTACAATGTTATTGTGTAGCCATTTTTTAGTTTTAGATCAATTGCTTATACATCTTAGTTCTACCTAAGATAGAAATTAATTTATCAATTTCTGATGTATAAAATTGATTATCGAAGTAATACTCTTTACTAATTGATAAAGGCGGTTTATGTCCATAACATTATTGTTCAAAATCTATCTACTGATCTAGTGGTTAAGCGCTCACGCGCGAGACTGATAGGTCACGGGTTCGGATTCCGCGAGCGAGATCGTGGGTGCACACTACTGAGGAGTCCCACAATAGAACAAAACAGCCGTCCAGTTCTTCCAGATTTTCCATGGTGGTCTAGCTTCAATCGACTCATGGTCCCAAATATTGAAATAGATAAATAGGTGTTAAAAAAATGTATTTGAGCATTAAAAATTAAATGATTGAAATTGCTCATCATTTAGCGTAAAGTCTTGATTTCCGACCTGCTTCGGTTTGGGCACCCGGGCAGTATCACAGCCCTCACACAAATCAATTGAGATTCGTGTGGCGCATATATATTTGGTGCCTCCTTGCACCAATATCTATGTGTTAAAATAAATAATAAATAAAATCTAACTGTTGAATTTATTCCGGTTGTATAATCACTGGCTTGGATGATATATTACTATTGTGTATATCCTTCAATTAGTTCTTAAACGAACATATCATTTTTTTCTCTTCTAAAAACAATATGCAAAGTATATTATATGTAATTTTGATTATTACTTTGAAGAGAGAGAGAGAAAGAAGTTGAAGCAAAATTGCTGGACAAAATGTTTTTATACATCCGACACTTAATTTCTATCGAACAGTTAACGAATATTCATTTATATTTGTTAAAAGTATTTCTATTGTTTAGATGTTATAATCTTTTTTAAAATTTCTTCTGAAATAAAATATTTCTTTCTTTTTAGATCCCGTCTACTTGGAAAAATGTTTATCAAACTTTGTACTTAGAATACTACCTGATCGTTAATAATTTAGAAGCGGCATTCAGTATTCTTCAAAAGTGGAAAAGACATCATGATTGTCAAACGAATAAGACAATTCCAAATAGTATTGATTTATGTCCACGTTTTCGAATATGTCTGATATGGTTAAAAGTATCTAAACATATTTCTACTAAGTTGATGAATGATTCCGATAGTAAGTTATTAACGATTTACACATTCGATAGTTCTAGAGAACTAGAGAGGAAAAAATCTTGATTTTTTGTTGTACAAGTGTCGACATACTGTTTTAAGCATGTTTTTGTTGGTAATTCGATCAATAATTAATCTCTTTAAATATCCTGTTGAATTGAATAACTATCCCCAATTACTTTATAACTTTATATGGTGTGGTGGCTTAATGATTAGGACATTTGACTTTTGGCCACTAAGTTACAGGTGCGAACTCTGCTCCACCTACTTCGGTTTAGTCTACTGGGTAGTATTGTTAGTCTTTACTCAGTTTATCGTTGGTTAATATGATTCTGTAAAGAGTATAATACATTATGAATATGATTACTTTTGATAATTTCATCTGGTTTTGGTAATACGAAATGTGATGTTTTGCTTATAACTAATTTATTAGGTGAGACTATAATTTATGGACGACCTTTGAGCGACGCTAAACTGACCTTGAGAGTGTCCGCTTAATAACCAGGACCAAGTGAGGGTTATGAACCTGTGTGAGGAATTAGAATTATAATTTACAGTTTACGACTAAGCTTAGCAATTAGATTTCGGGTTTTCATCACGAACTGACATCAACTATAAAGCCAAAACTCTATTTTTTCAAATGGGTTAGTGAATTTCTCACCAAAATCCGAGAACTGTTATCTTATAAAAGATTGGTTCATCCATAAATTATAGTTGTTATAAATTATGATTACTTATTATTATTGTCCAGTTTAAACATAACTTTTAATGTTTTTTCCTTTAAAAATAAAATACTTTTAACAAATTTTCTTCTTAGAAACAATGCCACAGCCTATTGTGGATGAATTTTTAGATTTACTTAAAACAAATAATCTCATTATTCATTCAACTCGTTATCAGTATTTAATTGGATATGTAATGAAAATATTTGCACAATCTATTACAAATTATCCTGAAACTGTGGGTCGTGATCAACAATTAAATGCATTTTCTCTTGGTGTTCAATTTGATAAGTGTTATTATGCGAATTATTTACAAATAGGTCATATACACCGTGAAATGGAGAGTTTTAAGTAAGTTTTTTTTTGTGTACGAAGTATGTCAGTGATTTTTTCTATTTTCTTTTCTAAGGAAATTTAGATCACATTGTTATGTTGTTAACGGTTAGGGGAAAAGGAAGGAGTGTGTTGAATATCAGAGAATTCTTCTACGTGGTCTCGTTTTTTCCAACCAGTCAGCTGATTAAAATAGTTGGGAATCATTTGCATTTTAACCACTCGGTTACAATAATTTCATGCATTTATTCACCACTTCTAGGTAATCTTTTATATTTAATCTCTGGATCATCTTTGGAATATCTTAATGACACGTCAATTAGGTGTTAATATTAACCAAGAATCAAGTACAATCGACTTCTGAAGTATTACTTGCCTTCAACATATACTTTTCGTAACCGAAAACAACATTTTGCTCAGTAGTTGAGTTAGCGTATTGTAATGATATCATTAACACCTATTTGGTAAGATTATTCTTGTTTGGGGTTTTAAAGTACCAGGAATGTTCGGTTGAAAATTCATAAGATTAAAAGTGTCAGAGCCATACCGAGGTCTATTGTCAATAAGACATTTTCCATAGATGACAACCATTTTGTCCGGCTGTACTTTTATTTATTTGTTGGGCATCACTGGGATGATATCTGTAGAATATATCCAAGCCACTGAAACCAGTGTTTCACTGTAGTAACCCAATTTAATCACTATCTCTACACACGAACTCACATCAGGATTACTAACATACTGTTTCCACCGAATTTGAGTAATCTTTTCGAGACAACTATAAACTACTTAACACTTCGAAGTTTCAGGGTTCATACTGTACTCTTGAACACTAATTCTCAAATGTTTAAACGTAATTTGACTAGCCTGTTTATTTGTTACAAACTAAGACATCTCCATAATCGTGATCTTCAGACAACATATCCACATCACTACTGTGTGCTTTCTTCAGAGCTGTTTCCAAAATTTTATCAATGGTAAAGTTGAATAGGAATGGTGAGATTGGACAACCCGACTTCTGGAATAGGAAAACTGAAAGATGTGGTTGTGTGCCCTCACTCTGCCTATGATGTTTATGTACAAAGTCTTCAAAATAATAATAATAAGGTTCCCGTGCTCACCCTTCTTGAACAAATATTCTCATTTCACAGTCCTATTCAATGAATTGACACGGCCCTGATATCGAGAAACACTATGATTCGTGACCTGGAACAAGTGTGGGGGGTATTACAAGGTTTGGTGGTGTAAGGATGTCATCAATGTGATCTGTAACCTAAACCAGAGTAAGTCCGTTCTTCGCGAGTTAGTCCTACATGGTTTTTATACAATCTCCAGAGTATGATCGAAACTAACAATTTGAAAGCGATTGATAGGAGACTTATTTTTTATAACTATTGCATGAATTACTTAAGCTCTCTATAAGGGTCCCGACGATACTACTTCTTCCCCATATTTATCTTTCGTTTCTTTTTGTTCGTTTGTCTTCATTTTGTTTACCCAGAGAGGCATTGACATTCTATGCTGAAGCCTATCGTTTGATGCCTGGTTCGCCAGTTTGCGCTTATTATTATTCAGTGGCATTGTGTAGGCAAGATGAATGGGTAAGTCTCATTATTAACGTCATTCATTTACGGAATATTATTGCTGTCATTGTACATGTACTTAGCACCCTTTGCATTTCTTTCCTGATGGTCCCAGCGAGTGTAAGTAGCGCTACGAAGACACATATGATCAAAGAATTAGCTACTTAAGCGTATTCTCTACTTTCATAAATTATTTTGACTAAGGACTTTTGATCAGGTTTTAACGATATGTAGCAATAGGACACATGCAAAATAAACGCTTAGTAGTGATCATTTTAAAATATAGTATTGTTGATAGAATATACACTGCCATAGTCGTCAATAGCCTAGGCATAAATTTGTCTTCGATAGGTAGTATATTAGGAAATGAGTACTCTTAAAAAGTGGTTTAACTAACTGCGTTTTGAATGTTTTGGTAATTGAAGATGATATCGTATAGTTTGATGTCACTCAGTATTTCCGTTTGTGTACGGTATTAAACTGAGGGGTTGGATGAATATGTGGTAGGTGACTATCGTTATTGTTTAGGCCTCTAGTGTTTTAGTAAGTTAGATGGAAGCATACCAAGCTGATGAGTCCCGGTGAAGATGAAACGTGTGTCTTGGATTCTACTACTCTCCACCATCCGTCTCTGTTTTTAAAATCACCTTGTATAGATACTTCAAAGTTGTTGCTTCGATTGAATACAATCATAATTCATTTCCGTATTGAATTGGTGAAAGATAAGACAATTAACTCCCATAGTTTTCGATTGCAAATTGACCTTAATTAGTGAGTCATCCAGCCTGGAAACCCTGTGGGATCGTCAATACACACTATCAAAGAGTCAATTATTAGGACTAAACAGAGCTATCCAGTTTCTTCCTAGTTTTCAATTGGGTAACTAATCAAGACCCACTTATGACATTAAACTATGAAATTCAACAAGCTCCATAAATCCTTCACATCTTTAATAATTAACTTAATTGGTTATAACCAATTTGTGTTCTGTTTTCAAATTCACATCAGGAATTTTCGAGGAAACTAAGACTAAGGGATGAGCTAATCAGAATAAGAAAGTAACTTTTGGGTTTTTGTGCGAAATTCAAGTGTAATATATGATGACCAGGAGAAATACTTTCACATATTACGTAAAACGTTTGAAACGGTCTGAAAAAGAAAATGTTTTGCTACCATAGAGTAAAAATGATGGTATTAAATGTACATAGTTGATAAATCGACTTTATTCCTAATTCCTAACCATAAAATCTTTGATTGTGAGATAAACCTAAACTTAGTGACACCTTATTTTTTTGAATGAACTAATCAGATAGCACCTCTTGGATTTGTATTTGAACTTCATTCAATCTTTCAACTACAGAACACCTTTGAATTATAGATGATGTTAATTGGTGATGAAAATCCCAAACTCTAATTGGGAACAATGTGGAGGAGAGTCTTAAAAATCTATTTAGATTCTTTCAAATATTCAAGAACATGGATAAACTATAACCATTAAGATGCGTTTATATTTCTTTGTTTTCATTTGAATTTACAGGCATAGTATTCTGTAGAAGACATTAATAAACTGACTATGTAATGCCTGTTTACACTGTCACTGTTACTGTTTTCTTTTTCATAAAAGTATCAATCTATAATAGCTGTTTTCTGATTAACTGGCTAGAAACTATTTAAAACTTGTCGTATATATTTTAAACTCGTCCATATACTACTACTTCTATTTTCCTAATATGTAAATTCATCTACCTATTCTGATTTCTTGATTTTTCTTTTTGATAAAAACAGTCATGCATGTTTTTTTTCTTCCATATAATCGTCAATGAGTTCTTTTCATTTTTCTTCTGTTCATATAGGAAAAAGCTTTAGATGTGTATTCATCTATTGATCATATGTAAGTAAAAATTATTGTAATTGGATACTACAATCCAAATTTTTATTGTTACTTTAATTACTCATTGATATTATTGATGTAAACACTTTATAGTAGTATTATTACTATTAGTAGTGTTGTGTATATTACACAATGTACCAGCAACGACTTGCCCAGCTCTCAGAAAGACGGTGTTTTGTAAAATTTTCATGAAATTATTGCAGTACCCGCGCACGAAGGAACAAAATAAATCGAGCAGCATAATGAACACAATTGCACAAAATGGAACTTACCATTCTGCGACGAAAGTTTCTGATGAATCTAATTATCGGATTTTACCAGATATGAGTTATCCTAATGGCTCACATGTTTTTGATGGAATTCCCTACACAAATGAGGAAAATATGTCGGATGAACCAAATGATGATCAAAAATCTAATGCAATTTTGATAGATACTGGTTTTCATAGTGATCCATTATCTACTAATGAGATTCTCAATAAATTTGAGGAAAATGTTTCAGAAGAATCAAACCCTGATAACCTCATATCAAGTGTCGTTGATTCTCACCATGTAGTCTGTTCTAGTGGATTCTCTATTAAATAAATAATTGTATTTTCGACTAGGGTAGTCGTCGTGTTTTGGGGTTAATAAACCTTTACTTTTACCAGTCTTTGTGTTCTTATTTCACGTCGTGCAAATTGCAGTGGTTCCTCGTTTTACATGTATAAGTGATAAGCGATTCTAACATAACAATCATCAATGGCCAGACATAACAGAAAGCAATCCAGATAACAACAGGAATGAAGGAACAATAAAGTTTTTAAGAAAAAAAATTCCAAGACGATGTGTGAATGATGTACTTAGTATATGAATTTCACATTTCAATAAACCACCGCGATTTTTCATTGAACAATAAATTAGATATCTCCACTAATTCTTTGTTCATTACAGTAGTAGTGTCCTTCAATATTTTTAGTGTTTATAACAACAAAAATATTGAGTTTTATTATCTTTGATAGTAGTATATGCGTGCTTGAGAAAGAAATTTCATAATAAAGTTACATTGTGAATTAAAGTTTTCATTGAATCAGAAAGAAGTAGTTGTTGTCCAGATCTCATTTATTGGAGAAAAACAATTTGAAATCAAATTGAATTAAATATAATCTTGGTTCTAACCTATAACTTTTTAGTACAGAGCTCACTCATGATCATACTAGTGTTCAAATATAAGAATTTCATGTCTCTTGGAAAGCACCATACTCAGTAAATTTCCAATGATCAAATTTTAGTTAGTTCACAACTTAACTTTACCGTCATTCATTGCTATCTATAGTGTCTATCTTACTCTTAATATGTTTAAACGCACATTGTTCACAACTTACCATCATAAACTCGAAAATTCTCGAAGTCAGTCACTATTAAGTATACATAATTGCTAATCTACTTCAAAATTAAATAGACTTGGCCAAATGGTTAATGAGAAACACTGACAAGAGCATGCTATTGTTTGAAACTTGGCTTAATTTTCTGAAGGACTTATATTTATGACAATGGATGAGTTAGTACATGTATTTCAATTAGGGTTTGTCAATAAAACTTCCTACTTCTTTTTTGTCTTTCTACTCAAGTACCTGTTTAGACTTGCCAATAAGAATTGTGTGTATCAGTATAAAAATTGGTCGACTGCATAACACAACATAAACGAACATCAAATTATTCGTTCACTGAAGTATTTTGATCATAGATTTCTCAGAGACATTACTCACAAATGATGAAACAATAGATTTAGCTATGGTGAAGTTGGGCATAGAGGATACTGAGGAAAGATAGGTTGGAAGAAAGCTGAGGAAAGTCGAAATATGACATGGAATGAATCCAAGAAGTCATAGACTGTCGATCTGAACCAATTATATGGTTGGGGTTTGAGTGATAACGTCAATATGAGTGGTTGTAAGCCCTACGTAACTTGGGTCAAAATCAGTCATAACAACCCAGGTACATACATTTTATATCACCGTAGATCTTCAGTTCCAGTGTCATTTCACATATGTCTTTATCTTTTAAAACCATATTCTCAATATTCAGTCTTTCGCATTCACATAAGTACTACATTATTTTGATTTCTTTGGCATTTATTCTTTTGATTTCATCTCCTTGTGCTCATGTTGTGGTGCAACAACTTAGACCAATCGCACATTTTTGCCTAGGCTATGCATTGATTATGACTGACTAATTGATGAATTATGAGATAGGTAATATTTCTTTATCTAATATAAACTTCTGTTTTAGTTGCGTTTTGTGTAGACTTGCTTTATTTGCTTAGTATCACTTTCATAAAAATTCTATTTCTTAGTGTGTCATCTGTGAATTTAATTTTTTTGGATGGTTTGAATTATTCCGTTGTTAAAATTTAGTCCAGCTGACAAGTGTCAAATAGGATGAGACGTACGTCCCGTATTCCATTGTTAACAATGTTCAATTTATTCTATATATAATCTATTATTGTTATTATTTCACTTATCTGTTTGTTTAGTGATTTCACAAAAGATATGTGGCTGAATTATGGCTTAATTAATTTACGTTTGGGTCGAATAAATGACTGTTTACCTGCATTACAACGTGTTGTTTTAGCTAAAAATGACGCGTAAGTGTTGTACATATATCGTTAATAATATTAATAAAAATAATAGTTGTAGTAGTAATAGTAATAAGCTCCATATATTTACGTTTATCTTTCAACTTACTGATATCTATCAATTAGTCAAAGAAAACAGTAGATCAAATACCAATCAAATTGGTAGACCTAATAACAACCGTTAAATCTATTATTCGTCAATGTTTAGGTTGATTGGAACTTGATATTTATGTATATATCTGTTTGTACCATGTGGAATCAGATATGAAGTCTTGGTTTGGGATTTTAGGAAAAAGTATTTTGTAAAAGTACCCTTTCAACTTTCCAGCAATAGTTTATAGTTTGCATCACGAACTGGCGTTAGTTAACCAACCATTAATATATGAAATCAGTGGATAACTATATTGTCCTAGCATGGGGACTCATCAGTGGTACACATCAACTATCCCATCGAAGATCGAACGCGAAATCTGTTCCTTCAGGGTGCTTTAGCTTCAGCCACTTATATTAAAATTTGTTTATTAATTGAAAATATTTTGTGATTCTAATGTGACTGGAAATCGTGTTGGTTTTACCACCAGTTCATAGTAATGGTGTTTTATTATTGTATGTTAACTGTTGTCAAAGTTAGTTTTTAAGTTTGGTGAATTCTGTTTGAATCCCGCATGCGGTGTCGTGGATGCACAATGCTGAGGAGTCCCATACTGGAACGAAACGGCCGTTCAGAAATTCCAGGTTTTTAGTGTAGTGGGGGTTTAGCTTAGATCGACTCATGAATTCAATTATTAAAATTCCGTAAATCTCCATACACTCTATGTATCATTTGTTCTAAGCTTTGTGTAATTTTTCGTCCTAATAGAAATTCGTTTATTCCACTAAATTGCCTATATATATATATATATATATATATATATATATATATATATATATATATATATATATTGAGAGTATGAAATCCTTTTCTTTCTCTCTTATTACGTGAAAGGAATTTTTCGCTAGCATGGCTAACACTTCTCTAGTTCACAGTTTCGATGAAGAACTTTTAACACTTACTAATGATTATATTCATTCTACTCATGATGATTTCGCCTGTGAAATTTCATGGGATTTATAAATGACAGTTAAATGTATCTCTATATAAACGTTTTTTAGATTATATTGGGAAATTCTCGGTGAAGCTTACTTATTTCGTAGAAGTTATGAAACAGCTGTAAAAGCTTTCAATCGTGCTTTAGACGTATGTTTTTTTCTTCGTTTAATCGTGCAAATGAACTTTCTGCTTGATTTTTTTGAATTGAAAAGCAACATATTGTTTTTCTCGCTTAATAATAACAAGGGGAATTAATTAATGATATATAGGCAATACTATAGAAAGACTCATCGAGTAAAACTTGATTTAAGCCTGTCATTATCCGTCATTGGACATAGGCCATCAACGAGGGGTCCCTGACTAACATTTTTGTCAATCGACGTTCATAGTCTTGATGCCTGTATCCATTTCTACGCGCCATGTGTTCTTTGATATGCTTTCCAAGTTGGAACTTGTAGTGCAGTCTAATGATTCCAGTAAAGTTATATCCTATGCCTTTTCCTTATTTCCTCCCCAACTTGGAGCTGCCTTGTTCTCTGTCATAGTGGATTATTGCTGGTGATATCTGGCTCTTTAATATATTCGTTGACAGCTGTTTATAAAAACCTGCAACTTTCGGTGATGACGTTTGTGGTAGTTCTCCAAGTTTCAGCTACTTATAATGGGACTTTTTAATGTTGGTATCGAAAATGTCAACTTTGGTGTTTTACAGCAGTAATTTTGAGTTAGATGATGGTTGGAGGTGGTCGACAGGAAACCCTGGACCTGGGTTTCGTGCTACTTGGAACTCGTCAGCAAGGTGTACCTGTAATCTTTGAGGGAACTGGTGCTACCTGGCGGATTCAATCCCGTGTCACCCAGCTTCACAGTCAGAGACGTTACCACTGAGCTATCCGGGCCGCGACCGACCTCCTGTAGGACTGAGATGTAATCACAATTGATTGATCACTAGGTGACCAATGTCATGCGTGTCTAGTCCTTATTATTAGTGCTGATCGAATGCTATCTATCATGCTGCAATGTGGCCACCAGTCTAGGTGACTCGACACCGCTGCAAAGATTTGATGTTTGTTTCAGTTGATGTCCAAAATAAGAAATATATTACATTCTCTGAAAGCTTTTTTTAACTTGTATATCTACGTCTGTTGCTCCTTGTGGAATTTAAATCAATGGGCATATGCATCAGATTCTATCTTATGACTGACTTACTGATTGGAATTAAAATATTAATAACATTTGATTACGGCTATTTCCGTCCGATTGCTTACTGTTTTTTCCTTAGAATACGACGGTTCAAGTTACTTCATATAAGGTATCGACAAATGCTGAGCAATAGTTTAAACCAAATCGTGGATGCGCACCGCTGAGGAGTCCCATGCTAGAATGAAACGACTGTACAGTGCTTTAAATTTTTCAGTGGTGGTCTAGCTTAGCTTGACTCGTGAATTCAACTGTTAAAATATTACAATCTCCACAAAGTTTCATAATGATATTAAATCAAATAGTTAATAAGCATTGCATGGTGCCCAGTTAATAGATCAAATAATCATTTCATATCGATATCTAAGTCCATTTGTTTACTGTATATACATACATAATTCGATATTAAATTTATTCTTTGAATTACACAATTTTGTGTAAATTAGTCAATAGTTATATAAAAAATGAGAAAATTTGTTAACTTATCATGATTATAAAAACATACTTCATACATTACTGGCTAAATCGAAATATATAGCGAATTTGTTTAACCTACTTTTGAATGATTCATTGATCTAAGCACACTGTACAACATAATTGGATTTGCAATTATTTAGTTTTAATACCGAATTCTCTGTGTTGTTTCATTTTAAACAACTAAGTACAACAGTATTTATTAGATGTTAGTTAGTAATAAAATTTTCTATCTGCGTCTCTTCCTATTTGGGACTCGTTAGTTGAATGAAGCAGTAGCTTCGTGGTTAACGGATTCGATTTCTAGCCACTAAGTTACAGGTTTTAACTTCTTTCCATCTAATTCGATTTGGTCAACCGGGTAGCATCAATAAACCTCAATGCATAGTGTGGATCTGATGCTAAGTACACCAATCTATACTCTAGTGAGTTGATATAATTAAAATTCTCCCCATCCTACTGTTGATGTATTTATACTGAGACGCGAACTAAGTACCGTTTTTTATTGTAATCACGAACTGATGCAAGTTCGAAAACCATTTGAAACCTGGAATCACTAAACGTTTTTCTCATCCTAGTATGGAACTTCGCTTTAGTGCACATTCATGATCCCGAAACCTGTAATCGACCTCAGGGCCTTCGGTTTCGCGCTCACAAGTTTAAATTCCAGAGCACTGTCAGGTTTGTGGTTATTCACTTCTGAGTAGTCAATTTCATACTAGAACGAAACGGCCATCCACTGCTTCCAGGTTTTAAATAGTCGTCTAACCTAGATAGGTTTGTGATTTTAATTAAATTTAATAGTCTCTACAACTCCATACTGATGATAAGTATCGATTGTTTAAATTGGTAACAAATTTCCATCAATTTACCTGCTTAGTTATCATAACCACCAAACTGTTCAAACTGTATTGACGTTCATTATTTTTATTAAAAATATTTTGAATGAAAATATTTCCCGTCTTCCCATGATTTACTATTATTATACGATAATACGATTAGTGACCAAGATTATATTACCACTAAACTAGATACCCGATCCATAGGCTATGCACAGATTGAACCACATTAGACCAGATACATGATTCACGATCAAAGTATGAACTAGACAATACCTTATTCAACATTATTACAAGCAGTCTACACTCAGTATGTCCAGAAGGAAATTAATTAAATAGTCAGTAAGATAAGTGTTTGTCTGTTCATGCTCAGTGACAAACCATTATCTTACTTTCACTAGATAAACATCATTTACTGACACATAATTTTGCATAAAACTGTTTTGTTAATATACGTAACTTGGTGCACAAAATGATCTTGTTTTCTGAATAAATTATATTACATGGATTCAATTTCATCTAATAAACCAACAGTTGAATAATAATATTAATAATTTATAAAATTACTTTATTCTTTTTTGTTTTTCTCTGCTTTTTATTTTCTATTATCGACAATTTCAGCTAGAACCGAACCGACCATTTACACTAGTTCTGTAAGTGTATTTTATTTTTTTTACCTTGACTTAAAGTTTTGTGTATCATGTTTCATTGTTCAATAAGACTTTAATGTTGTAGGAATAGGTCAGTGGCAGCGTCTGAATTTTTTACTTTAATCAGTCAGTCAGTCAGCTGCAACGTAGGACCAGGCACGTATATGCATCGGTCCAAGTTGCCATACCGCATTAGCACAACAAGATGAACACCGGATTCATAGTAGTTAAATCAGTGGTGGTAATATATAGAAGAAAGATTGCATATAAGGAGATAGTACAGGAAGAAAGAATTAGTTCCTAGAAAGAAAGATATGAAGCGATTTTAATCTCTTAGTTTAAAGGAAGACAGAGAGTGTACACACCGACGCCATTGTGATCGATTCTGAGCCATGTCACCAAGAGTCTCCAACCATTGGTTACGATAGTCACGCGGACCCCAACCAGGTAGTCTGCATCTACTAACATGGCTCAGACCAGAAGTTAGTGACTTCAAGCACTGATGCAACGTTTTGGTTTGGTCGCCCCAAACTTTCTTCCAATTATCCCTAACACCGGTTACCATTGCGCGCCGTGGTAATCGGTGTTCAGGCATACACAGCACGTGACCCAACCATCTCAGTCGATGAAGGTTCATAACCTCATCAACTGATTTACCATCATTTCCCAATACCCTACGTCCAACCTCACTATTATTTACCCGGTGATCCCAGCAGATACGAACAATATTTCTAAGGCATCTGTGGTCAAATACTAGTAACTTACGAGTATCTTCTACTCTTAGAGGCCATGTTTCGCAGCCGTATAGTAGAACGGAACGAACTGCCGCGCAGTATACTCGTCCCTTAATTGATAGACGGATATCTCGCCTTCGCCATAGATGACGTAAGTCGGCGAAAGCCAAGCGAGCTTTTCGAATCCGTGCTGAGATTTCGTCAGACGCCAACCCATTAGGGCTGATCAGACTTCCAAGATAAGTGAAGTTGTCAACGCGTTCGACTACTTCACTCCCTATCCTTAGTTCAGGTGTTGACGCAGACCAGTCCTGAAGCAACAACTTGCATTTAGAGGGAGAGAAGCGCATCCCAAACATTCTGACATTGTTGCTCAGTGCTACCAAAAGACTGCATTTCATCAGCGTCTTCACCAAACAGGACTATGTCATCTGCGTATTCTAAGTCAATAAGTGGACCTCCTGGTAGGAGATCAATACCTGAGAATTCAGTCGATGAGAGCGTTATTTCCATCAGGAGGTGTATGATGAAGTTAAACAGAAATGGAGAAAGTGGACAGCCTTGACGGACGCCACTTGAGGTTGCGAAAGCAGATAACAGTTCGCCATAAGCTCTGACTCGACTAGTAGTGTTCGAGTAAAGAGCCTTCACAAGGTTTATGTACTTCTGAGGTACGCCTTTCAATGAGAGACACTGCCACAGAACCTCTCGGTCAACAGAGTCAAACGCTGCTTTTAAGTCAAGGAAGACCACCATTGTCGGACGCCGATAAGTATGCCTGTGTTCTAGAACCTGACGAATGGTGAATATGTGGTCGATGCAGCCACGACCAGGTCTGAAGCCAGCCTGATTCTCTCGTGATTGCAGCTCACGAGTCTTAGTTAGGCGTCCGAAAATTATCGAGGCTAGTATTTTAGATACTATATTAGTCAAACTAATCCCTCTGTGGTTGTCACAGGATGATTTTGACCCTTTCTTAAATATTGGGACGATAAGTGATTGTGACCAGTTAGATGGGATGACGTCTAACTCCCAGATTTTAGCTAAAATATTAGTCAACCTAATCGCTAAAACTAGACCACCATCCTTAAAGACCTCTGGGGCCAATGCGTCTGGACCAGCTGTCCTTCCTCGTTTCAGATTAGCTATAGCCTTTTGAACTTCAGCTAGAGTTGGAGGACCTACTTCAATGTTCTATTCACACTGTCTGGGAATAGAGGGTAGTTGTAGAGTAGCTGATGGCCAACTGAACTGCTCCTTAAAATGTTCCGCCGATCGTTCTAAACGTCTGGACTGGGAGCAGATGTGAGTGTCATCTTTTTCTGAAGAAGTCTGACTTACACTTGATTTATTAATTCCAGTTTCTTTTATTAGTCTGTAGAGTTGTCTTGTGTTCCCTATAGCCGCCGCCGCCTTTTCCATCTCTTTTGCTTTCGTTGCCCACCACTGCTCACGGTTGTTCCTTAGACTTTTGCTTAACCTAGAACTGATTTCTTTACGCTCTTCATTGTGTTCAGAACCTGATGGGATGAGTTTGCGAGAATCTATCAGTGCAATAGACCTTGAAGAAATCCATTGGTTCTTTGTAACCCTGTGGTTTAAATCACTGGTAGATGTCACTGCTGTTTCCACAGCTGCTTGTATAACTTTCCAAGCATTATCTGGGTCAGCTTCGTTTTCAGAACTACCTAAGTGTGACCTCAGTTGTTTCTGGAACCTACTTTTGGTTTTATCATTACTCAATTCGGTTCTAATGAGTTTTTTGTGTGGCTTTTTTGCGTCCAGTGAGGCGCAAGCAGATGCGTGCTCGTATTAGAGCACGGTTGGAGTCCAAGAAGGTACTCCAGAATGAGCGACAATCTTCTATTGACCCTCTCCAACGATGACTGATGGCAATATGGTCTATTTGAGTCCATCGTTGGTTTGGTGCAGGGGGTCGCCATGTCAGACGGTGTCTCTCCTTATGCTTAAAATTTGTGTTTGCTAAAAATAAACGATTGTCTGAGCACAGTTGCAGCAGACGATCACCATTATCTGTTCTCTGTGCCGGAATACAAAAATACCCACCTAAATGTCTTTCTGTTTCGTTTAAGCTACCTACCTAGGCATTAAAGTCGTCTCCTACGAGTACTATGTCTGAACGTTTAGCTTTCTGAAGAAGTTCAGACAGCTTTCTGTAAAATTCATCTTTCACTTCATCCGAACTGCAGTCAGTGGGAGCGTAGGCAGAAACGACGAAAAGGCAACGACATGTGTCCCTATCCTTTCGAGTTCTTACGGAGCCGTTTAGCCGAACAGCACATAGACGACTGTTAACGGGGATCCACTCTAATAGCGCTTGTTCCGCCCTCATGCTTAGTGCTATGCCTACACCTGCCAGTCCACGAGAACTGGCCATCGGGTCGCCAGATACACGGAGGGTGTATATCGTCGGCTCTCCGTTTTGCCGAGGTGAGGTCAAGTGAACGACCACACTAGAATCCTGTATGCGTGTTTAGGAGACACAGCATACATCAATGGTACGAGATTCTAAGGTTTTAGCCAAGGAGGCCTGTTGACCGATTTGGCATAGTGTGCGTACGTTGAAGGCTCCAATGTGTTGTTTGGAGCGAGGTTTCAGTAGACCTGGGACAGTGTTTTGCACACAAGAATTGGTGGCTGTGGTGACACTTGAGGAGGAAGCCGAAAGAGGGAGTTCAGATTTGAAAATCGATGTAGGAGGAATAATAGGAATTGAAGAGGGAGGTTGATTATGAATACAGTGGTCTTAAGTGCTGTTAGAGGTATGAGGGCGGTTATCACTTCTCGGTTGCCCACACCGTGGAAGGGTTCTGCTGGAGGTACCTGAAAAGGAAATTGGATTAGAGGTGGTCTTAGTGACCTGACAGCGTGACCGCGGTGCCCAAGGGACAGCTGCTTGAGGTTGGTCACACACGACCTTTTTATGAGTAATTCTTGTGTTAGCTCCGTACTTGTTGAGACCTTACCGCCGGAGAGGGATATCCGTGGGATAAGGCGAGGTGTGCATTTTTAGGGTCGACCTTTTCTAACCCCACCATTCCTTTTGGGAAGGCAGCATCGCTGTCATGCTGGTTGTCTGAAGGAAACACCTTACTGCTGTCACACCTCTGTACAGTCAGCAGTACGACTTCGCCTTCGGACATTGGTTTTGTTGCTTTTAGTCTTACCGCTCTTCAACCGACCTGTCTGGCATGGTAGGACCTTGAGGAACGGTTGTTCCAGCCAGTATAGCTCAGTTGCTTCATCACGATAGGCAATCCCGACCACCACGTTAAGGTAGCAACAACGGTCAGGAATTTTTACTTTAAGCACAAACTCATTTTTTTTAACTTCGTTCAGAACATTGTAGATATGTAAATCCATAAAATCTACATGATATTGAATTTTCTTTACTAGTCACTTTATAGAGGAACTGCTAATCGATTCCGACCCTAAGATTAAAAATGGCATTTGCTTGATAATCCGGATACCCCACCCCCATACACAAAATTCCATATTTTTTAAGTTTTAATTGCTTGTGTTGTTATTCGTGATACAACTGTATTTTCAGACAAATTTAATAATCTGTTTTTGAAATATTACGTTTCGGAAGTACTCTGTCAATGAATCAGAAATTTTAAAAGGATTCTATGGTGCTTTGGATACATATTATCATGTTATCCGATCACAAACAGCTAGTCTAATAATGTTATAAAGCACGCATTTTCGAATACTATTATACCCTTATTGTTATATCCCTACTATCCTTATGCCAACTATTTGAAGTCGGTAATCACTCCAATGACTATGACTAAAAGTAAGAACATGGTTGACTGATGCAAATGACCCTCCAAAACTATTGCGACTGCAATTATATCGTGGGACTTCAACTGGAAATCTGTGAATCGGAAGACTCAAGTAGAAAAAATGAAGACGTTAGATTAGGATTTTTTGTAGAGATTAGTTTACTTTGAATTTGGCCTTTGTCATAGATTTACCTCAGTTCGGATATTATACAAGAAATACTGGATAGCTGTTTCATTTTAGTGTGGGACTCATCAACTGTTCGTATCCACAGTCCGTCCTGAGTTTGTACTTGCTGTTCAATGCTCTCTAGTTTTCAATGATACTCTGATTGAGGTTGATCTGTTACGAGTGCCATGTTTAAATCGACTTTAAGGTTAATGAATTTTTAATGATCGACTTTATGAATTTTAATACGTGTTGTAAACGTTTAAGTCACTGGCGTGGAGGGTTTACTGGAATCATGTTAATTAATCAAATGAAATTATGATAATAATAATAATAATAATAATAATAATAATAGAAATAGAAATAAATATAGATAATGTAGGATGGATAGTGTATTAGTAATATATTTAGTAGTCAAATCAATTACTGATCGGTCAATGGCCACGTAACAGAATGAAATTATATAGAGCGCTAGGTAAGTGTTCGGATTTATGAGAACAAAACTTAAAGGAAAATAGATAAGGCTTATCATTTTGTCGATTTATTACTATTATGTAGTTAGATCTTTATTTATTATTTATTTTAACACATTGGTATTGGTACAAAGAGGCACCAAATACATATGCGCCACACAGATCTCACTTGATATGTGTAAGGGCTGTGATACTGCCCGGATGCCCAGACCGAAGCAGGAGGTTTTCTTAGGGGGCCACACCCGGAGCCTTCGATCTAGAGGTCTGATCCACAAGGCAGTGAAACAATGTCAAGAGATGCAGTCTCATAGAAGCCGGTGACCAATAATTGGTTCATACACCATTTGTTCCTTCAGGCAGGATACTGGAGCCCATGTGCACCATTGGTTTGGGATCCGGTTAAAGCGCCAGACATTCCCTTTTCGTCCTCTCATTTTCGTAAACAACACCCGCTCCACGAGAAGACAGTGAGTAGGACTTCCCAGGCAGAGGCTATATACGCGTGGCCATGTGACAGCATTTCGAGAGGGAGAGGGGATTCTCCCCACTCTCGGCCGTACCAGGGCATCTGGGGGCAAAGCATCCGATTAATTAGTCAAGTTGACAGTTAAATCTGATGTTAGGCGATTGAAATAGTCGGTAGAAATTATTAGACCAAGATTTTGTACTAACTGGTACTCATGTACTTGTATTATTCAAAGAGTAAATGTGCTATGATACAGTCTGGGAGTTTTTCACAAGAATACCCAATACTTAAAGAATTAGATACATATGATATTGATAACTACTCAGTGAACGAAGTTAGGCAACTAACTCTACATATGTTAACGTTGACTTGAATAAAATGAAGATTGAAATGTTAGCAGGTAAGTCTAACCAATAAACCTAGTTTATGTGTTTAAAAGAACTTTGTGACAATCTTGTCCGTTCCTTGGTTGGAAATGAATTAACAATTTTTGTTTAAAGATTCTCACTTTATTAAAACAAAGATACGTGGCTCAGTAAAAGCTTGTCACGAAGACAGTTTAATCTTAACTAATCTGATTCAGACGAACCAAATACGAATAACATATTATGACCAATAATTTTTAACGATAATCTACCAAGTTAAACGTCATTTGTCAAACGTACTTGCACTACGACTTTTTGTTGTTGAAAAAAAAAACCGAACGTTTTATCCACGAAAGGAACCAATCCAGATCTATCTTATACCTTGACCCCAAATGCCCTGGTACGGCCGAGAGTGGGGAGAATCCCCTCTCCCTCTCGAAATGCTCTCACATGGCCACGCGTATATAGCCTCTGCCTGGGAAGTCCTACTCACTGTCTTCTCGTGGAGCGGGTGTTGTTTACGAAAATGAGAGGACGAAAAGCGAATGTCCGGCGCTTTAACCGGATCCCAAACCAATGGTGCACATGGGCTCCAGTATCCTGCGGGAACAAATGGCGTATGAACCAATCGTCGGTCACCGGCTACCATGGGACTGCATCTCCTTACGATGCTCCACTGCCTTGTGGGTCAGACGTTCAGGTCGAAGACTCGGGGTGTGGCCCCCTAAGAAAATCACCTGCTTCGGTTTGGGCACCTGGACAGTATCACAGCCCTTACACATATCAAGTGAGATCTGTGTGGCGCATATGTATTTGGTGCCTCTTTGTACCAATATCTATGTGTTAAAATAGAATACATAATTAATCGGAAGTTACTCTTTCTTAACAGTAGTAAATCGTTCTCTTTCTTCTTCTTCTTCTTCTTCTTCTTCTTCTTCTTATTATTATTATTATTATTATTATTATTATTATTATTATTATTATTATTATTATTATTATTATTATTATTATTATTATTATTTGATCATGTATTCAATTCTTATAAAAAGTAAATTATCATTACTTTTTTTTCAAATTTAGATGTGGAAGAGCTTATCGTCATATGAATGATATTCACTCCTCTATTTGTTGTTTTAATAATGCACTAAAAATTATTGCAAATAATTACATGATTGATCGATTATACAGAAAATTCTATGTCTTGATTATAAAAGGTTAGTATGTCTGCTTATTTTCTCTTTGTTTAATGTGTAGAATCTGTCATGTTTTTCTTTCTTTTTCTGTTTTATTGTAAAGGTGTATTACCTTGTTGTTGTTGTTGTTCTTTTTTGTTGAAAAATTCGATATCTTTCATGTTGCATCAAAAATATTTTGTTGCACAATTTCATTCAAGTTAAATTTGCTTATTTTTATTTACTTGAAAATTTACACATTAGTAAAAGGGGGTACCAAATGCATATGCGTCACACAATAGTAATAGTTATCATGATGATTTTCTTACGGAGTTACTCCCTGAGCCTTTGACCCAGAGGTCTAATCCACAGAGCAGTGGAGCGACGTAAGGAGATACAGTACCATAGTACCCGGTGACCGACAATAGATTAATACGCCATTTGTTCCCTCAGGATTCTGGTGCCCATATTCACTACTGGTTTGAAATGAAGGTTTTCCCACTCCTCTAGATGGATCCTCCATACCCACCAACCCGGTTAAAGCGTCGGACATTCGCTCTTCGTCCTCTGAATTTCGTTAACAACACCTTGGATGAGAAGGCAGTGAGTAGGACTTTCGTGGGAGTGTCTGTATACGCGTGGCGATATGAGGGTATTTCGGGAGAGAGAGCTGACACTCATCACGGCCGACAAATTAAATTAATAATCCTGAGAATTGTGTACATAGGAATTTTAGGTACGGTAATTGCTCTGTTTGCGAGTCATGGGATCAAAGTGATTTTTGGGCAATACATTTATTTTTATCAAAGTTACTCTCGAGTATTGAACTTCATGTGTTACTGACTATCAGTGTCACATGTTTGTTGTCTTGCAATTTGATAAGTCTGCTAGTTGAACACAGTCCAATCTCCTAGCCGCGTTTAATAATCTCAGACTAAATCTGCAAATTAAATTTAAGATAAAAGACGTAAGATAAAAAAACAGCTTTACTATAAGTTCAGGGTACTTGCAGGGAATCTTGTATATTTGTACTATTTAATATGACCTTAATCGTCTAGAAAGTTCCAGAAGCATACTAAATATAGCAGCAATAAGGTAATTATCCAATCAAAACAGGACACATGATCTATTATCTTTCCAGATGTATTGAAGAGGCTGACCGTAGATGCTACATTGACGTGGTGGTCGGGCTTGCCTATCGTGATGACCCAACCGAGTTATATTGGCTGGAACACATGTTCCTGCAGGTTCTACCATGCCAGGCAGGTCGATTGGAGAACGGTAACACTAAAAGCAGCAACTCAAGGTCCGAAGGCGAAGTCGTACTGCTGACTGTACAGAGGTGTGACAGCAGTAAGGTGTTTCCCTCGGACAACCAGCATTTGCAGCGATGCTGCCTTCGGTTTCCCACGATCTCCAATCTACCTGAATGACAAGTTAATGTAAGTCCTCCGATTCTTGACGAAGTTGAAAAAGCTATAGGAAATCTGAAGCGTGGGAGAGCAGCAGGCCCTGACAGGTTTACCCCTGAGATTTTTAAGGATGGCGGTCCAGTATTAGCAGCGAGGTCTTAGGTAGAATCTGGGAACTGGACGTAATCCCATCTGACTGGTCTCAATCACTGATTGTGTCAGTCTATAAGAAAGGACAAAAGTCTTTTTGTGACAATCACAGAGGAATTAATTTGACTAATATAGTGTCTAAAATATTAGCTTCAATAATACTTCGACGTCTAACCAAAGGTCGTGAAGAGCAGACTAGAGAAAACCAGGTTGGTTTTCGACCTGGACGTGGTTGTATAGACCAAATATTCACATTACGTCAGGTCCTAGAACATAGACACACATTCAGACATCCCACAATGGTAGTATTTCTCGACCTTAAGGCGGCATTTGACTCTGTTGATCGTGAGGTTCTATGGTAGTGTTTGTCACTGAAGGGAGTACCAAAGAAGTACGTCAACCTTATAAAGGCTCTCTACTCGAACACAACTGGTCGAGTGAGAGCTTATGGTGAACTGTCATCAGAATTGATTACCTCAAGTGGTGTTCGTCAGGGCTGTCCACTCTCTCCATTCTTGTTTAACTTTGTCGTTGACGTCCTTTTAGAGATGACACTTTCCTCATCTAAATTTCCAGGAGTTGAACTTCTACCGGGAGATCCACTTGTTGACTTAGAATATGCCGATGACATGATTCTATTTGGTGAAGACGCTGACAGAATGCAGAGTCTGCTGACCACTCTAAGCAACAATGCAAGCCTGTTCGGCATGCGATTCTCTCCCTCGAAATGCAAAATGTTGTTTCAGGATTGGGTTGCACCGACACCCGAACTAGTGATAGGGAGTGAAGTAGTTGAGCGTGTCGACCGCTTCACTTATCTCGGAAGTCTCATCAGCCCTTGTGGTCTGGTGTGTGACGAAATCTCAGCACGGATACAAAAGGCTCGACTAGCTTTTGCCAACTTGCGTCATTTGTGGCGTAGGCAAGATATCCGTCTATCAACCAAAGGACGTGTTAAATGCGCAGCAGTTCGTTCCGTTCTGCTTTGTGTCTGTGAAACATGGCCGATAAGAGTAGAAGATATTCGTAGGTTACTAGTATTTGACCATAGATGTCTTCGAAACATTGCTCGTATATCCTGGGACCACCGAGTAAGTAATGCAGTTGTTAGGAAACGGGTACTAGGTAAGGATGGAAAATCAATTGAGGAAGTAGTGAAACTTAATCAGTTGAGATGGCTGGGACATGTGTTGCGCATGCCCGACCACTGACTGCCCCGACGTGCTATGTTTTATGGTGTAGGAGTAGGTTGGAAGAAAGGTAGGGGCGGCCAGACCAAAACATGGCACAAATCCATGAAGTCACTGACAAGTGGACTGAGTCATGTTGGTAGGTGTAGACTACCTGGTTGGGGACCGCGAGATGATAGCAACCGATAGTTAGAGACCTTGAATGACATGGCTCAAAATCGTTTGCAATGGCGCAGGTGCATCCGCTCTTTGTGTTCTCTCAACCTCTAATCTTCTGAATTCTTCATGTCCTTTATTTTCTTTCTAATTATATTCCACTGGACTATACTCCTTGAATAACATCATCAAACCCCGATGTTCCCTATCACTACTTATACTTCCAGTACCTCTACCATTACGGGATTTGAATCGATAACTGAATCTCTGTGCTAATGTGGTATGGCAACTCGAACTTATGTACGTACGTACGAAATTCCACGTTGTTACTGACTGACTGACTGACTATTGTATGTTGTAATGATTACCTATGTAACTTATTACAAAGAGAAGTCTTTTTCTTTTCATACATCACAGACGCGTTAATCGTCGTAGATACCCCGTGAATTGTCGTTTGAAAATTAGTTGACATTCATTTTTTATAATGATAGATTCATTCTTCAGTTGAATCTTTCTTTTATCACATATCTCGAATGTGTGATTGAATACTTTTAATAGATTTCAACAAAGTATTAATGCTTCGTATTTTTCAATGCTGACTTTTCTACTGTTTTTTCTTTTTTTTTTTTTTGTTATTAAAATACAGAATTAATTGAAATTCATATGTTCAAATGTCAGTCTGGCATGTATCAAGGATGTACTGGTCAAGCGTTGAATGATTTACAGATTACTTTAACCTTGTTAAATAAGTATGTTTTTTAAAAGAAAAATTATAATCTGTAATAATATGGTTGTTGTTATGTCCTTAGCTTACACAATATCGCGATATATGATTGCCAATTTAGGTGCTCTGACTTATACGATCAAACTAATAACGTATTTACCAGTACGGGCAACCTAGAGTTCCAATTAGTCCTTTTTCTGCCTAGCCCAGCATGTTAGGTTCAGAATGCCAATCTCAACCTCCGCGATTTGAATCATATATTTCAGGCATACTAGGTTTATATACAAACAAATTTGATCACATCAAACCATAAAATAGAAAATAACATTTGTACAAGATCAAACCGAAAAAAGTTGCTCTGATTATGAGAAACTGTGACCAATAAACTGAGAATATTTCAAGACCAGTAAATCGTATGATGATAGTCAATAAATCAAATTAAAGCTTATAATAAAAAGAATATAAATATACATATGATATAGTTACTTAATAGTTATACAATAAGAGTATACGCCTAATATTAGTCTATAAGTAATCACTAACGGTTACCATTCATTTATTGTCGTCCATTTATAAGAGTTGTATTTTCTTCTTTTAGCGAGAAAACATCGATAATTATTCGAATTATTATTCAAATAATTATTCCACTTCTTCGCTACGATGACACTTTAAGAAACATTTAGTAATTTAGAGGTATGCACAATACATGTTCCGAAACACCGTATGCACACGAGATCAAAGGTCCTGGGTTCGAGTCTCGCGTGTGGGATCGTTGATGCGCACTGCTGAGTCCCATAATAGGATGAAACGGCCATCAAGTGCTTATATTTTTTTAATAGTGGTCTAACATCGATCCATTCATGATATTAATCTAAATATGCATTATTTTCTGACATTTAAAGATGTCCAAGCACATTAATAAAACAGAAAACACTGTATGATAATTTGTTTCTACTGGTTAATGTTTCAGGTTATTGAATTATTTTGTCGGTTCTAAAGTTGTACCATTCTGGTTTTTCCGATATACAGGTGATATTCTTAGCCTATTGTCTATGATTGATGATCCTGAACTATTGTAAGCTGTCAATTTGTTTTTTTCCTCGTTTATTTTTGTAAACATGTTCCTTTTTTGTTGTTATCGTTCAAATTAGTGATCAGCATAATACTGAATATGTGCTATACGGATTCTTGAAGTTTAAATAGATATTTATGGAATGGTTGATCACTTGTTAGTGCTATATTTATAAATTTATCATTCTATTTTAGTCTCCTTATTTCAAAATCTTGTACTGTGATGGATAATATGTCTTTCTTAATTGATTTTACCTTATTATAATATATCCGTCCATCTGCATTGCTGTACCACATCAGCAAAACTAGATGGAACTATTGAGATTAGTATTGGTTGTTTTTGTGATAGTGAAATCAATGTTATCCGAATACTATTTCAGATAAAAGAATTAATTTACGAATTAAAATGTATTAAACAATTTTATAACTCAAGATCTAAGGGCAGATAAAAGAGTGAATGAATCTGGGCGATCATGCTTGATTGTAAAATATGTTAGCTCAAACATTTGCATTTACTAACATTCCTCAGACCAACGGACATTGACTTCATAGTCTGATGTCATATTTCAGATTGACTTTCTCAGCCTTCTTCAAACCTACTTTTACAGCTCATAACATCACGCATCTAGATAGGTAAGCGATTATTGGACATACACAGTACATGTCCAAATCACTTCAGACGATAAAAACTCAGGTTCATCAACATCCGATTTCTTATCTTCTAGCACTCTGTGTCTCATTCAATAGTCCGAAGCTAGAAGAGCAATCGAAGAAACCTATAATTAAAAAACTGCGACATAAGAGTATCTTCTATTTTTATAGACTACGTTTCACAGTCATAAAGCGAAACCGAGCAAGCTATTACACAATATACTCACCCCTTTGATATCAGACGGATATCTTGCTTACGCTACAAGTACTGGCAGTTGGCATAAGCCAAACAAAACTTCTAAATATATTAGCTGAAATTTCATCAAACACCAACCTATCAGGGTTGATATGATTTCCAATTTGAATGAATTTATCAGTTCACTGAGCTACTTCACTCCTTATAATCAATCTAACGGGTGAAGCTAATCACTCTAGTTTTTATTTACATCGTCAGTGTTTCAAAATCTTAATCAGCAATAATATGTCAGAAATGTTCTAATTTCATGAATAATATCTCACATTTAATCCTCAATATTTCCTTAAAATGATGATGATATTGTGTTTATGATGTTTATCGGTTTGAATTAAACTAGTGTGATATAACTGAAAATTGTCTTGACAAATTGTGTTTAGAAGATTTATTTTAACCTTGAATATCAAGAATGAACAAATAAAAATCTTCACGAGTAGTAGAAGCAAAAAAAATTATTATACCTATTAAACATGCTGGTGAGTATCGTGACTAAACAGTCTAAAGAATGTTAACGCGTTGATTTTTTTTGTCTAAACAATACTTACATTGTCCGTATACAAATGTGAGAATATATCAACACTAAAATACAGATACATCCAACTAACCAGTATCTTCCAAATAGGATGAAATGCACATTGTGCATTCAAGTTGTAGTACAGGGCCAGAAAAAAAACTTGTTATTTATGTAAGCTGATTGTTGTAGATCGACCATGTTGAGTTTTTATACGATGATAAAAGTGTAGTTCATATGCCCAGTAGTTCCGTTTCATGGATTATGATGATATTTTGTTAAGATTGCTTTCTCTGAGGTGATTAGTCCAATTCATCTTTCTAAATAACATCATCGTCAAGACTAACTTCAAATAGAGAAAGTGAGATGAAAGGATTTCCCGATATATGACGAGCGGTTTATTCTGTCAACCTTGAATTCGGTTAATTATTGTTGATACTTGTCATTTCATTGTCTACACATTTATTTTTAATGTTGTCTTCTTCGATCTGATTATTGTAATTAGTTGATAAATTATGTTTATTTGGACATGTTTATTTAATCATCGGCTGATCCTAGCACTAGACTACTAGAAATTCTTTGGTCTTTTTGTTCAGATACTGTCCATGATTTCAACATTTTCCCAATTGAACGTACGTCCACGGTTGTCTGCCGCTATAAATATAAATGAAAATATCACTGTATTGCTCTTTAAAACAAACTATGTTTAATTCACTTGATATTGTTGTTTTATTTGAATCTTCCCATTGATGTTTAGGACTGAAATTGTTCAGTCTCTTATTGGCATATGTGCCTCAAGTCCCGGAGTGAACATCAACTCTGAGATGCAGGTACATCCAGCTGACGAGTCTCAAATAGGACGAAACGCGCGTCCTGGATTCCACTGCTAGCCACTATCCATCTTTGCTTTTAAAACTGTGTTTAGTTTCTAAATTAACTTGTAGCGGTTTGAATTATCTCGTTTCTGATATTCTTGAATAAATTTTGATCAGTCTTAGTTTGTATATATACATCCTGTGTGGATTTATGTCACAAATTTTTTAGAGAATAGATAGAATATAGCTAGCATTGTAACCTACAGGACATGAGTTTCATTCTATTTGGTCCTTGTCAGCTGAATGTACTTTTCATATCTCATTGTTGATGTTTATACAGGGACTTGAACCGAATACATTTCAATTTAGACTCCTAACATTCGTTAATCCACTTAGCTCTTGATTTTATGTCATTACTGTTTCTTACTTTATTTATAACTGTTCTTTCACTCATATTTTGATTTATTGTTATTATTTTAATATATAGAATCGATGTCCCGACACGTTTAGTCTCTTTAATGAATGGTGCTCAGTGTCTATCCGAATCGAAAGAGCCTACGGAAACGGTTAAAGTCAATATTATCACATGTCTTCACCTTGGTGGGATGTATGTTTCAATGTTTCTTTCTAATTATTATTACTACTATTATTAATATGAGTAGTAAGAAGCAAATAATTCTCATTTATTTCTTGGCATGTAGGTAGTTCAGTTGGAAATTATTATTCACTAGAGTTTAGATGTCGGGTAGTAAGTGTATTTGTCTAATTTCTGAATAACCACATATCCTTAAAGATTAGAACAGATATCTTTACGGGCTTCAACTATCTATATAAAGCGTAGGTGGCGGTGTTTCAAGTTCTTGACCTCTAAACATTAGGTTATCGGTACAATTTACTCATAGGTGATTATTAATAACTCTCTCATTCCCACACACACACACACACGAAATGTTTGACTCAAAACCGAATACATAAGCATGCATTTGATTGCTGAGTTTACACAACTCATAATGCCTAATATACATCTTTTGTGACAATGACTTTCTTAAAACTGTTAATAGTGTGTGGCAAATTGCATGTTTCAATGTGGGTTTTTCTGACTTTCCCAACTAAATTACACCTAGTGTTATGGTGTTTATTCCTCAAATCAAGAGCTCAAATAGACTGCTTTAATATTAGTGTCTCTACTTAAATCGATAACCAAGATTAGTTTTTCTTTTAGATAATTCACTTCTCTCCTAATCTTAATCAACTTGATATAAATCTTGAATTTTAAGCCTCCTCAAACCCTAAAAATATTTTTTTTACTATTTTGTATGATTATTATTTCAGTTATCTAGCTTGTGCTCTTCGTACATCTATCAGTTCAGTTCGATATCCATCACATTCATTAGATCCAAATGTGCTCTCTAGCAATAAGAATAATGAATCAAGTACCGATACTACTACTACTACTACTACTACTACTACTACTACGGCGACTACTACAACGGATCCATTGAAATTATTATTAATAAGTTCTATATTAGTTAATTTAGGTATTAATCAACTTAATCAAGGTTATTATATGCAACGTAATAATATTTCACATGAATCATTAATTAAAACAAATCAATTAGATCATATTGTTAAACCATTCAATTCAATTATGATACCGAATGAATTATTTTATTTATCTGAATCAACTTTAAAAAATGCATTACAATTATTAGAAAATTTATCTAATATCTATGATGAATTATTAGAAGAAATAATAAAAGAGAAAAGTTTACTTGAACCAGGTACACTAACAACTGATGATGAAATTGATGAACAAGATACACGTGATCGTATTGCTTTAATTAAAAAACTTCAATCACGTGCATGGGCTTCATTAGCTGGTGTTTATTCAACAAGTGATGGTAAATCTTCTTTTAAATAATAATTACAATATTTTCTTTTTCTATTGTCATGTTCTTAATCTGAAGTTTTGATAAATCTTCTGAATAAACGCTTGAATAACATTCTGAAGCTGTTTTAATTACTCCAGGTTAACTCTGTACGACAATTTATATATGTATATATACTACTGTTCAAAAAGGAAAATGGTTTCTGTTTAAGTTGATATTTTTTATTGGATTATATTGTTACTTCAATAATCCTGTTACGATGAGATTGAGTATGTTAGTCTGTTACATGTATAATTTATTCTGCCAATCAAATCAATATATCTATACTTTTATTTAAAAATGAATAGGTTGAACCTGGCTAAGAGGTGAGATCTACAGGATGCGCGTTTTGTCTCATTCATGATTCGTTAGCTAGATGTACCTGCGTCTGAGAGTTGATGTTCACTTTGGGACTCAAACCCAGTATCGTTCACTTCAAACGCCATCGCATAAACCACTTAGCTACTGAATGCAGATCACTATTCACTTGAACAACAGTTACCTGATTGGTTGCTATCGGTTTTAGGTTGTTAGATAATTTATGTGCCCTGAGATCATTGGATGTTCCTTTTCACTTCTGTATGGAATATAAAGCTACTCTAAAAATCCTGTCTTCTTTATCGCTATATTGAAGTTCAAGTATTGTTATGTGACAGGCATTGAGTCTGTTCGAGTTCTTATTTATTGTGTTATATTAGAACTTGCCGTATGCTAAGCAGAAAACCCAATACGTCAGTCGTTCTTGTGAAGGTTTATTATTATTGAGTATGATTATAATTATGTATTAATACTATTATTTTCTTTTTTATTGTTTTACAATTCTAGAAAACTTGGATTCAGAAATCACCTATTGTCTTTGTCAAGCATTACTTTATAATCCTGATGTATGTTTTAATTCATAGTTTGTTTTTAATATGCTCTTTTTATGGTTACCATAAGTATTATGAAGAAGTGACGGTGGGGAAGTTGTGTAGAAATTATGTGATTTAAAGTTAAGTTTGCATCATGAATTAATATTACCAGTCCTTACAGGTAAAGTGTAGCTCAAACGTTGAGGATGCAATTTCATGCCAGTCAGTAAATTAGCACATAATTAATGTCATGTTTTCAACATCCTAGTATTTATAATATCCCCACTTCAGGTTAAATTTCATATATTCCTTTCTTTGTCTTTAAGATCTTCATTCAATCGACTCCAGAGTTTTCATTTGTAGAAAAAAGGCTTAAGAATGAAGTATCAATCGTTCTATCTTTCTGACGATGTACAAAGTCGTCAAACCTGAGGTTCAAGACTACTTGAGAAAACGTACTGTTATCGGCGTTTAGTCGGCATTAGGTATACAAATTAATAATTCCATAAATAATTCTTCGTCCTGTTATAATAATAGTACTACTAATACTATGTTTTTTTCAATTCATGAACTGATCTTAACTAGAAAATCATTGAGAATCGGAAAGTACTAGAAAGCCGTTTCTTGTTAGTATGGGACTCCATTAGTGCTCATTCATAACCCTGGTATTAGGTGACCATCTTCCATTACCTGTGGCGAATAATTATCTCGCACTCTTGCAATATCGTGAATTGATTGAAGTTTGACATTAATACCGTCAAATATCATCTTAGTGGTCTATAAGTTAAGCGTTCACTTGCGACCTTGAAGCTCCTGGATTCAATTCCATGTGTCGGTGTCATGTATTTGCACTACTAAGAAAGAGTTTCATACTAGGACGAGATGGTCGCCTAGTGCTACCATTTTCTCGATCATGGTCTAGTTGAGATCAATTCATGATTAAAAAAGTGGAAATTATAGGATCTCAACAAAACCCTATACTTCTTGAGTAGATAATAGACTGTAATCTGCTCATTGATTAATATACTTAAAATGCAATGTTATTCTATGCTCGTGACAACCTATGTCTACTAATTCTGAACTTTTCATGTTATATTCATCCAACCATTCTCTCCTATTGAGTTCATTTTGACTTATACGATTGATATGAATAAGGTCTGAATAAAAAAACAGCTCTAGCACACAGATGTTATATGTGTTATTTGAATTTGTACAACAATATTGAAAATAAATTACTGGCCAACAAATTCTTCGTTCAGTAATATTATGATTTATATATCTATTTATACTTTTTTCTCATCATAGAATACCACCGTCATGGTTAATTTGGCAATGCAACAAATGAAACAGGGTCAAACTGAAGTAATTTTCTTTTTCTGTAAATTCAAATCTATTTCACACTCACATTCACTTTTCCCAAATATGGAGTGATGATTTTTGAAATTTCTTCTGTCCGTTTTCTTCCGGTTTGCGTTGAATGTCAAATATATTTAGTCTAATGTGTAAAGCATTTATTCAGAGGTTCGAAGTTTAGCCATTCACTCGTTTTTTAAATCCTCTGCTTCTTCTATTTTGGTCTGGAAAACCGGATTAGTATTATCAGCCCCCTCATACCTAAAATGCAACTCGAAGTCAAGTACTCGAATCTGTACCACACCTGGTGAATGAGTTATTAATTCGGCTAATATAATATCGTATAATTATTGAGTACAATTTTGTGGTACTCTGTTTCGACGTGTACTTTTTATTTGTATATGATGAATAATAATATTTTTTACTTATTCAAACTGAATTAAGTAGGGAAGGGTTCGATCCTGCGGCTAATAACTGGTCGAAAACTGAATGCGTCGACCATCTGATAAGTTAAGCAATTCCCCAGGTATATCTTGTCTCTGTGATTATATTACCGCAAACACTAGGTATGATGCTATCAGATGAAGCCGATCATGCCACTACTCAATGTTTCACCTTACATCTCATTATCTGTGTCAGAAACACAAACGTATATATATGAATAATTTGCGTACTCATTAGTTCGGTGTAGCCAGTTAAAACTCTCTAAACATTCCTCAGTCTTCTCATTCTCATCAGTGTCCAGGCAAGTGTTTGAGAAGCCTGTACATCGGAATTGGACCATTGCGGTACATAACACCGTTAGCATTCATAAAGTTGGATAAGTGAATGTATCACTGTTAATTTGCCTTTAATAATAAAACTATTGTACATTTATCCCGAGATATTACAGAGTATTTACTTAATATATATATATATATATATATATATATATATATATATATATATATATATATATATATATATATAGCCTTCAATCGTCCGTTTGCATCTCGATGTGTTCTGTCAACTCCGTACTTTCGATGCACCAAAACTTTACTCCGTCCGATAATTTTTTTCAATTATGACACCACATTCCGCTATATTACTTACAAATATCCTTATGAGTTGCATCCACTACAATTACAGAGTGATCTTGTTCATGTTAGTTCATTGGGCCAATCACAACATGCTTTCATTGGTTACACGCATTAGGAATCAATTAATTAAAAGAATGTAAAACGGCTTGTAAATGAATTTGACTTATTTTGATAAGTAATAGTATTATCATTATTACACTCTTCCTAGTAATAATATGTACACATTTAATCTTCTTTTCCATGAGTAGTTGGTTATTCATAATCTATTTAGAGCTAGCACAAAAATATCCATCAATTCAAGTTACCTCACTATATCAGCATAGAGAAATGAAGTTCTAGAGACGAATACTAAAACAGTAGAAAATAGCAACCAGTACTCTTCATCTAACCTCATCATTGCTCACTCGATTGTTTCCAGCCTAAATAAAAACGTCTATGATCAAATAATAGTAGCCTGTTTCGTAGAGTAATATATGTGGGTACGTGTACATGTATTTATACATTGTACAACTTATCAAAAATTATTTTCGCTAAGTTCATTTAATTTTTTTCTTGATTTTAAGCTTGCAGTTAATTTGGTAGAACAAGCTAAAGCGATTGATCCAGATAATTTTAGAGTTTGGCTTGTTTCAGCTCAATTGACTGCTGTCATGTCTGGTACTCCGTCGATTGGTCCTGGTTTATTAGTCAATACGGAAGTATTGAGTCATTTGATACATGCTGCGTATACAGGTTCCAATGTGTGTTTGTTTTATTTTTGCTAACATTTTATATATTTCAAAATTGTGACTTATAATGGAAGTTAGTACATATGTTTCGTCGTTTTTGATGACTCTTCAGTTGATGTGTTCACTTGGAAACTAGAACCCAATATTTATCTCTTCAAATACGATTGTGTGTTACCCATGGAACTATTGAGTTGATTAGGTCAGTCACTGCTTTGTCTAACGGGGTATGAACTTATTCGTTATTTTCTTTTAATTATATTTAAGGCATCTGGTCAAGATGCACGTATACCAGCAAAGACTGATCAATTAGTTTATAGCCTAAATATTAACATTGGGAAATTACGAAAATTTACAGCTGTGTATATAATTACTTTGTTTAAATCCATTAGTAGTAGTGATTTATTATTACTATTATTGTGTTGCGAATAACATTGGCATCTCACTTAATTGAGCCTTTAACCCTAGGAATCTTAAAACAACTTTGTCCTGTGCTCTCTTTTCTAGTTGTTTCCACTTTTCACCCATCCTGTTGATATCTGTCTCCAAATCGCGGCACCATATGTTCTTTGTCTGCCTTCTTTTTGTTTTCGTAAAGTGTATCCTATCAGCCTCCAATGTCATTTCCTGATTTTCTTCTCTATTATTGGCCGATTTGTTTTCACAGTTGTCTTAGATAATGTTAGATTCGTTGGATATGTCTTTGATTTTTTTGTGCTAAACAATTGCTTTTTATCTGTAAATAATACCTTGAGATTACACTCCAATATTTTATAGCTTATTTGAATAGATTACTATTATAAAGATAAGTTCAATAGGACGATGCTTTCTGTTATATATATATATATATATATATATATATATATATATATATATATATATATATATATTTTAACACATAAGTTTAGGTACAGGGAGGCACCAAATACATATGCGCCACACGAATCTCAATTGATTTGTGTGAGGGCTGTGATACTGCCCGGGTGCCCAAACCGAAGCAGGTGGTTTTCTTAGGGGGCCACACCCCGAGCCTTCGACCTGGACGTCTGACCGACAAGGCAGTGGAGCATCGTAAGAAGATGCAGTCCCATGGAAGTCGGTGACCAACAATTGGTTCATACGCCATTTGTTCCTTCAGGATACTGGAGCCCATGTGCACCATTGGTTTGGGGTCCGGTTAATGCGCCGGACATTCGCTTTTCGTCCTCTCATTTTTGTAAACAACACCCCCTCCACGAGAAGACAGTGAGTAGGACTTCCCAGGCAGAGGCTATATACGCATGGCCATGTGAGAGCATTTCGAGAGGGAGAGGGGATTCTCCCCACTCTCGGCCGTATATATATATATATATACAAAAGCCGACATCACCTTGAGAAACAACCAGTGTTGGCTAGATATGATGTCGCTTTCAAGTTTAGGGATTTCCTTTCCTACAATCTATTCACATACTTGACCTCATACAGAGTCGAACTATTTATTTTATTTATTTATTTGAACACATAAATATTAATACAAGAGGGCACCAATTATATATGCACCACACAAAACAATGGGAATGGAAAGAGAAAAAAAGGAAGGTAAGGAGTGCAAAAGAAAAAAGAACAATAACGACCAGATTAGTGTAAGGTAGTGTAATAATAATAATGGGGGAAACGGAAAGGTAAAACCAGAAGAATTCTTTAAGTTAAGGAAGATACAACCACTTTTTATGAAGAAAGTAAAAGAAGTTTGCAGCAGGATCGCCACTGGTTTTTATTCCGAGCCATATCTGATAACGTCTTTAGCCACTGTGTTACACCATCTCTCGGACCCAAGCCAGGGTGTTGTGAAGGACCAACAGAAGCCAGCCCTTTGTAACTTTCTTTCATACCTCGACACCATGTCATACACTGACCACCTCTCCGCTTTTTCTAACCAATCCCAGCGTCGGAAAATAATGCACGACGTGGAATTCTCTGGGACGGAATTCATATAACATATCCAAGCCACCGAAGTCGGTGTTTCAAGATGGTGACACCAATTGGATTATTGTTTCTGCCGAACCTCTGCATTACTGACATGGTGTTGCCACTGGATATCAGCAATCCTTCGAAGACAACGATGATCAAACACAGAGAGTCGTGTAACATCCTCAACTCGGAGAGGCTAGATTTCACAAGCATAGAGTAAAACTGCTCTCACCGACGCATGTAGATCCGACCTTTTACAGCCAAACTAAAATCACGAAGGCGCCAAAGATGACCCAGATTGGCATAAGCCGCTCTGGCTTTCACTATACGTGTATTGATCTCATCACTCACACTGCCACCAGCACTTATGCAGCTACCTTGATACACGAACTTCTCGACTACTAACTGCTTACCATCCAGAGTGAGCACAGGATTGGAATTCTGCCAGTCTTGTAGAAGTACTTTGCACTTCAAAGGTGCAAAGCACATACCGTACTTACGGAAAATACAGAGTCGAACCGTTAGATCCGAAAGTCGTGCGGTGATAATAAACACAATACGTTATAAATAGTTTTCCTAATCTCCATTCCATTCTCAATTTGTTTGTTTTCTTCATGTCAAAACAATCCCGATATAATTTTTTTCAATAATACTAATTGTTAAACTCCATTTTTAATATTACGGAGGTTTTTCTTGTTTTTACTCATCATTTACTTTCACTTCCTCTTATTTTAGTATCAAGTAGCTTCACAGCTTACACTGCATTTGATGCCTATAATTATTGAATATGCTGGATGTAATTTCCTTTGTGATCCATCAGCATCATCTTGTCCATCAAATAGTATGTCAGAATTAATTCAAGTTTTCGATAAACGAGCACATTTACGCTTATCTATCAACGTGGCTATAGAATGCTTAAATCGGGCTATCGGTTAGTTTAATTATTACTTATATCATACTTCTTATTTTATAATAACATCGATATACAAAATCAGATAATAATAATTATTACCTTTGATACTGTTGTGTTGGGCGGTTTTTCCTAGTCGAATACAGATATATACAGTTCCTACATGTCAGTCTAAACTGTTATTGGTGTGAGTAGGGAAGATTTTATTGAATAAACGAGATGAATATTTGTATAAACTCATTCCTTAGTGTAGATTGTGTCCCTCGAAAAATCAAGTCAGATTTTTAACCAATGCCGTGCACTTGTCATTATCTCCAACTTATCGTTCGACTCTGAACTAATATATCTGATTGATCCACCCTAACAACTACTATATGTTTTCAGAGAATAAAAGTTTTACTTTAATCTACAATTTAATTACAAAGTTAAAAATAAGGAGTATCAAAAGATATCATTATAACACACTGATTACAGGACACTTATTTTTGTTGCTAGGTTTAAGGTCAGTTTTATCATTTTGTTTTCATATACTTTTTTTTTCTCATCATACATATGTATAGTATTTTCGCGCATTTACTTTTTACTTTGCATATATTAATTCTGGTGTATTTTGGTATTGTTTTGAAAAAAGGCATAGTCAAAGCTAATGTTGTGAGTACAAAGCATATGGCTTGTATTCACTATTATATAACATAGAGCCAAAAATCCACCACTCTCAAGATCCTACCTAACACGTAGTATGCTTTAGGGAAAGAAAGAATTAGAATGTGTATTTGCTGACATTAATATGTATGAATAAAATTGATCTGTCACTGAGTAGTAGTGACCAACGTCACGTCTTTCTTAGAGCTAGTCGGATTCTGTCGATGAAGTTGGAATGCGTTCACTAATCCAAATGACTTGACATAGTATTCACTATGTTTTAATTTCAGGGCTATTGGAGGTGATAGTCAGCAGAAAACCTTGGACCGGGGCTTCATGTTAGTTGGTATTTGTCAACGAGTAGTACCTACAATCCTGGAGGGACTGATGCTCCCTATGGGATTTAAACCCGTGTTACCCAGTTTCACAGTCTGAGACACTACCACTTATATAACTAGCTTTAAATTGAATTATTCTACATCAACTGTCCTACGAAAATGTGAACAAAAATGAATGTATATGTTAGTCAATAATTGACTAATAAATATTGTAAGCTCTTGAGTAATAAGACTTGATGTCTGATTGTCACATATTGCGTAAAGGCTTAAGAATATATCACTTCTCAAGTTTACCATTGATTTTATTTCGTTTTGTGATTCACGATTATAGTGGAATTAATAAATTCACCATTTTGTATCCGTGATTATCACACTGTATTATTTGCTTTTAGTGTAGAGTAATATTTGTAAGATTAAAACAATTTCCAAATTTTATAAAGATCTTGTGCAAATTGTTGAATTTTGTAGTTTCACATCACGTACTAACTTCGGTTAAACAGTTGTTGAAAACAAGGAGGCACTGAATAAATGTATCATTCTAGTATAGAACTCTTCAATAGTAGTGTACATTCACGACCTCAACACTAAGGATCGAGCCTGGGACCTTCAAATCTCATGGTGAACACTTAACCTTTAAGCATCACCACTAAACCGGCATACAATGGTTCGCATCTTTAGATTCAATTGAGTTGTGATATTGGACCACTATGGCGTGGGTGACAAACTACTTCATATTTCACACGATTGAACCCCACTAATCACAGATTCTCATTATAATTCACTTTTGTTATTGGCATGAAGTGAACTTTTAAATGTAAAGTTAAAACTATGGATTTAAATGGAATAATTCTATTTTCTCCATTATCAATTTATTGTTTAGCTTTCCAGCCTAATAATATACGATTATGGCATAATCGGGGTATATTACTCCAATTGGTGGGATATTCTGTACCCGCGAAACATTGTCTTCAAAAGTAAGATAGATGTATTTCTTGCATTATAATAATTCTTATGTAAAAATTCTCACTAAGATCTATTCTATTTGTAATGAATCCGTAGTGAAGAGTAAGTTTATTCAATAAAATCACACAAACACTGGAATGAAGTCGATGTTATACTGTTATTAAATAAGGATGTTGTAACATAAGTTAATTAATAAGTAATGAATTATTTTGTTTACTGCACATAGATTTGATTCTCTTACAGTTGATCAGCTGCGTTTCCATCATCAATATTATCGATTACTCTTCTAAAGAATGATAAGAGTTTGAATCCCATGCAATTGTAAACCACAATAATAACACTAACTAAACACGTAGATAATGGTCACACACATACCTATAAACAATAATTAATCAAATGAACATATAAACAAGTTAATTAGTCGATTATGAGAAAATTTTATTCGTTTACTTCTTTTGTGAAATTGTATATGCTAATAATGTTGCTTTAGGGAGAAATATAAAAATTTATGACCAAACCATCCAATTCAGAGGAGAATACAACACATTCAAAATCCTTCTTTTGAGCTATAAATATTTTCAATAGTTATACTCTTTCCTCTAGACCTATTCACATCCACTATAGTAAATAATTCACTTACTCAATCAGTGTATTTATTATGCGATTAGGGAACAGGTCAATCAATTTTACACTGTTCCCAAAACTCAGAAAGCTAAATGAATGTGGGATCAGAAGTACTCTTTTCAAAATTACCTTTAAGCTTATAAATAAACACATAACTATGTAGATGAAAAGTACATAACATCGCAACGTATCACAATTTGTATAGAGGAATTTGTGGGGGTTCTAGGATATTTGCTGGACTACCAATCAAAACCTGGTAACATTGGGTAGTCGTTTTGTTCTAGTATGAGACTCCTCCTCAGTAGTACGTATTCACGACTCAATCACTGGCATTCGGACCCAGTACCTTTAGTATCGCAAGTGAATGCTTAACTTTTAGATTACCAAGCAACCGGCGTCAATCAGGTTTTTCTTGGGTTTCATATTAGTGCATCTAGATCGCTAAGACCACTAATAATCTACTTTTCTTTTTAGACTCCTCAAGAAGTAGTATAATAATATAGACAACTGGGAAGTGATAACCGGTCACACATGCTTTCAAAATCACCTTGTTACCAATCAACTTCATTCTTTTCATTTAATTGAACTCATTCTATGACAAAACTAGAGACAACCATGTTTTCTATGTATTTTCTTGTTTTTTTTTATGTTTTATCTTCTGTGTTTTAGAGCTGTTATGTTATTGAATAAACAAAAACAGTTATCATATCGTGATAATCCAAATGAATTGGCATTTTTCAGTCTTGTATTATCTCATTATTTTCTTATTACATATATTTGGTGAGTGTAATATTTGTTGTTGTTATTTTCATCAGTTGATTCGAAATTTATATAGTATTTTGCTTTGTGTGTGTGTCTTTCATATGTATACATAACGAAATTTCTACCTGGACAAATTGATTATTCGATCATAGCTAATATCCATCGTTAACTACCACATTCCTTGGCGTGTAATGTAAAAGTCAATTGTAAGAAAGCTAGAGTTGATCGAATTGAAGAGATACAGCATTAGTTCTCATAGTCGTTGACTATTAATCTGATTCATGTTGTTAGTCGTAAACTATCTGGTTTGAGTGATAATCATTATCATTGATCGATGTTAGACGGACGACATAGTTCGAAAGTGATCATAACGATAAAGATGCACTCATACTCTGTCTTACTCTATGTGCGCCAAGTGATAGTATTCCTTCATACATACCTTTACATTGTTTTTTCTAGAACTTTATTCTCATTGTCTAGTTCTTTTCAGTATCTCATTTCTATTGCAATTATTTTCATTACTTTGTTAGTCATCTGATGTGTAATGATAACTTGGTCTATTGTACATTTGTTTATGATTGAAAATAAAGTCTTAACATTCCTACAAACTGAAAACCGATTGATCTACTTAGAAAACTGGTGTAATATGAAATACTTGTTTAGAATACAGCATAAATATAATGTTTCATATTACTTACTATCTTTCAGGATTTAAAGTTCGAGAATGATAATACAGGTCAAAATAAGTAAAAAAAATTGTTATGTCCCAACGAAGAATAAATGAATGGTAACTGCTAGGGATTATCTATAGACTTATTCAACTATTATTATCGGATAGTTAATAAGTAACTAGATTATATATATATATATATATATATATATATATATATATATATATATATATATATATTGGTATTTCTTTTATCATAAGCTTTCATTTGACCTATTGACTATTCTTATACGATTTACTATTCTTAAGTTATTCCCGATTTTATTAGTTATGGTATTTTATACTCACAACCACTTTTGGCTCGATTTTGTACAAACATTGTTTTTCATTTCATGGTATGTGTGTGGTCTAGTCTATTTGTACATAAACTGAGTATATCTGAAATACATGATTCATGCAGTGGAAGCTGAGATTGTATTCTGGTTGTTCTGATTGGCAATTTAGTTATGTGACATGCCATAAGAACATAACAGAGATAGTTAATTATGAAAATAATAAGATAGATGCTTGTTTCAATGAGATTATAATTTATGAACAACCTTTAAGAGATACCCAAGTTGATCTTGAGAAAATTCACTTGCTTACAAAGATCAAAAGATGGTTATAAATTAGTATTAGGAATTAGGATTAAGATTAGTAATTAAAGTAAAGATATTCATTACGAACTGATATCCACTATAATGCCAAAATGCTATTGAACTATATGGTTAAATGAATTTCACATCAAAATCCAAGACACTTGCTATCCTTAATCTTATTGGTTCGTTCATAAATTTTCCATCTTTTCAACATTCAAAGTTTAATTCTCTTAGAAATCCAAAAGTAGAGCATTATGAAAGCAAATAGTCACGTTTTAACATTTCCTAATATTCAGATAAATTTAAGTATAATCAAATTAGAAATAAAACATCAATCTCCACTACATATTCTGAGTGAACCAGTCAGTATATATATATATATATATATATATATATTCTCTTCTTCTCTAGATTAACCGCTTCTTAGTTCAAATGTGTTTTTATTTATATTAGCTCGAAATAAATTCTATTTTCTAAACATTTTTTATGCTTAGCCTTAATGAACAAAGTGAATTATAATCGTATTCTTGTTTTCTATATTGTTAAGAACTAGTTTTGATTATTGTTTGTACTGTTATGCACATATTACCAATAAATATTGATCAAAATTCAATGTTGAATATCAATGCTGAGGTTAATTAAACTTTTTATCAAATATGATAGAAACATTATATCTATTAAACACATTAGAGATCATTTAGACTTCAATATTTCAGTAAATAACACAATGTGGGTCGTTTCAAGCAAAAATTACACGGTTCTCAAGTTTTAATATTAAACAATAATACATTGAAATGTAGGTACATTCGGTTGATTGAATTTTAGATAGGATAAAACACACATTCTAGATTCTATTGTTTAGTCATAATCTGTCTATTTTATAGAATAAAACATATTTTTTGTTTAATTTTAGTGGATCACCTGATTGGAAAATTGCTGATCAACTTCTTAATTTAACTAAAAATCCAAATTCTACATTTTGTCATAGTTTAGCAGAGGCATGCGCTAAAGGGATTATATTTACAATGCATCCAGATTATCCACCACAAGAAAATTTATCACTAATATGTGAGACATTTGTTTTTTTATTTGTTTGTGTATTTTCAATATTCTGAAATGATTTTTTTTTGTTGTTGCTAAAACTTGAATCCATTTTTTAAACTTACATTGATACACAGTGTCATTATAGGGTTATGGAGATTGTAAGACTTCATCGAAATCATTGAAAACCTGGCAGCACTGAATACACATTTCGTCATAGTAAAGAACTCTTCAACAGTGCTCATTCATGATCTCACAACTGGCAATCGAGCCTAACATCTTCGGTCTCTCATGAGAATGTTTAACCTCTAGACCGTTGATCTGACATCCAACGGTGTGATGGTCGCATAATATCGTGGATTGGTTGAAGTTAGACATTAAGACTGTTGTATGCCAGTTCATCAGTCTAGAGGTTAAGCATTCACGAGACTGAATGTCCTGGGTTCACTTCCCACGTTTGTTGTCGGGTATACGCGTTGCTCAATAGTTCTTTAATAGGATGAAATGGCCATCCAATGTTTCCAGGTTTCCAGTGATTTCGTAACTTAGATCGGTTCATGATTGCAATGATATACATATATCCGAAAGCTCTGTTGTTTGTAGTTTGTTCTTTTACTGGTGAAGTATGGTATACAACACAGAAGAATCAGGTGGATTAATGTAATGTTGAAGATATTAGCTTCTTTTATATATCCGACACTTAATGTGGCTTGGAAATAATAAGTCTGAGAAACCTCTAGCTCAGTTTTATCCAAGTCCTTTAGTGTAATTACTCAATCTTTATCTATAGTATTTGACTGGTTTTTGAAGAAACATAGTTTGTTGTGTTCCTATTTTAACCATAACTCTTATTGTGATGGAGAAGCGATTGTCTTTGTTGATCGAGGACTCTTTTGACAGTAATTGACATTGAAAGATGTGTTGTTGTAAAACTACATCAATACCCGAACACTTACTACTCAGGTATATACTTATGACACACTATTATTTAAATTAGTTACATTTGGTGTTGTTCATCTTCTCTGTTTTTTTTTTATTTTTTAAATCTTTGATGTACTTTTGAACTGGGGTAATACTCTTTTTATCTTACGTCCCAAAGGATTACAATCCTACCTGGAAATTCACTTATTGAGTTAAAGTGTGCAAATGACATCATCTTACTTGGTAAAGACTGACAAAATTTAAGATCTTCCGAACATTTCAAGTAACTATGCAAAAATGTTGTTCTTTCTATCTCGGTCTAAATCCAAAATTCTATTTCAAAATTGATCTATGCCAATTCCTAGTTTGGCATTTGTGAGTAAAATAGTTCAGATTTCATAAATCCCTTCAATGATCTTTAGCTTTTCACTCACCCTAGCGGATTATTAATTTACTGAATGTTATTATTCATATTTTTTAAACGTGTTGGCGGGGGGTCAACAACATTTACTACTAATAATGCAGACTAAATGTTCATCCACTTATCGAAAGACGAGTAAAACCAGTGAGATATGATGTTTGCTAGTAGAAGACATGTAATTGACCAAAAGTATCTTTAAAGTATATTGGAAGCATTGGACAAACAATGTCAAAGTTAGAGGTTCAGTTCTAAGTGGAGATAGTTAATGGATTAATGAATTTATAAACGTTTGTAAAATGCTGTGATTTAGATACATATTACACGTTTCAAGTTACTGTCTATCTCGATGCACTTTGCTGGTCAACACAACAACAGGCTAGAGACAGATAAGCAAATACATATGTCATAAGTCAGTCTCCAGAGTCTCATATCGTAATCTGTTGTTAGGAATCTTATATATGACATGAGTCAAAATCAGTCCTAACCTTTTCTTTCAAACCTATTGCATATCATGAGCATCTTATTATTCCATACTTTACTAACATTTAGTAGTTCGTTTTGAACGACTACTTATTGTATGTACTATTCTGATATTGTTTATGTGTGATTAGTCAGTTGACTTTTTGTTACAGTAAAAAAAATGCATTTTTGCCACTGATTTTCGTTTAATTTAGAGTCGATTCATGTTATTTTAGTGTTGATGGTTTCTTTTTCACAATCAGTTTATCATTAAGTAGTGACTAATAGCATATTCGTCTCAGTCGTTTCATGATTGTCGAACAATTTTCTGTGTGTGGTCACTAGTCTAAGTGATATAGCATTATGTACACTATATTTTTGTTGTTTAGTGACAGTTGACAAGAAAATCTAGACTTAAGTTTAGTGCCAGTTGACACTTGTCAACAAATTGTACTTATAATTTCAAGAGAACTGATATTTCTTGATGGACTCGTCACCCAATTTCTCATTCTGAGACGTTATCACGAAGTCATTTGAGCGGCGAATAACCTGTAGGATTTAGATATTTACAAATGATTGATAACTTAGTTCCTCTTCTTTAGTCATATGTGGATTTTACTCTTGCATATCATTATTATTAGTAGTAGTAGTAGTACGAGGGGTTGTAGAAATTGTAGTATTTTAACAGTTGAATTCAAGAGGCAATCTGGGCTAGATTAGAGGCTAAGCGTTCGCGCGCGAGACCGAAGGTCATGGATCTGAGTCCTGCGTACTGGATCGTGTGTGCACACTGCTGAGGGGTCCCGTATTAGGAAAAAACGGCCATTCAGTACTTTCATGTTTTCACTAGTAGTTTATCTTAGATCAACTCGTGAATTTAACTGTTAAAATATTTTATTCTTAGTATTAGTATGATTACTCTCCATCGATTGATCTCATCATATTGTTTTGTACTCTATTGATTGATTACATGTCCATATTCATCTATTTCTTTTTGATTAATCAATTAATTATTTTAAAGGTGTAACTGAAGAAATTCAACGTCTTCTTAATCAAGGATCATTTGTTACTAAATCTGCATTACAATTTCAACCAAATGCTGGTTTCTTATTATTATTAGTTATAAAATTAATAAATTGTCCATATTTTGGTCCAATACAAGAAATTCAAAAATTACACACTTATTTAACTGGAATTATGAAACAGGCACAATTATCCACATCATCATCATCTTCTTCTTCAACTGATCAATATTATAATATTTCATTACCATTAGCTTATAATTTAAGTCAAATTGGTGTACGTTTAGGTCAAGATGTTGATTGGTTAATGAATTCACCTTTATGTAAATTGATTTATGAAATTTCATCAAAAAAACAAATGGAATATGAAATTTTATCAAATTTGCCAGATTTATTTACTAATCGTATCAGTGATAATTATTTACCATTAGGTGGACAATTAACTGAAAATGAATTAAATAATTGGATTATGAATAATACATATTTATCATTATGTTCTGTAAGTTAAATTAATTCTAGTTATCTTCTTTCTTTTTTTTTCGTTTTTTTTTTCATCATCATAAGTTACAAATTACTTACTTACGCCTGTTACCTTTCGTAGAAGAGTATAGGTCGCCCAC